AGGGAAGGGAAGGGAAGGGAAGGGAAGGGAAGGGAAGGGAAGGGAAGGGAAGGGAAGAGGTTATCCAATCTGATATCCAACACACCTTCCTCCTATTTTCCTCACAACAACAACCCCGTGAAGTGAGTTGGGCTGACAGAGAGTCACTGACCCAAAGTCACTCAGCTGCCTTTCATGCCTGAGGCGGGATTAGAATTCACTGTCTCCTGGTGATTGGCCCAAAGTCACCCAGCTCGCTTTCATGGCTAAGGTGGGACTAGAACTCACCATCTCCTGGTGATGGACCCCAAGTCACTTAGTCGCCTTTCAGGCCTAAGGAGGACTAGAACTCACAGTCTCCTGGTGATTGACGTAAAGTCACCCAGCTCGCTTTCATGGCTAAGATATAACTTGAACTCACAGCCTAACCCTTTCTAGCCTGGTGCTTTAACCACTAGGCCAAATTGGCTCTCCATGCTTGCACACTGCTTCTCTTCTCCCCCCTAAAACGTCAGCTGCGTCAGTCTCATGAATCCAACTGTGGCTCAGAAGTAAATAATATGTTTTACAGCACTGATCATTTACCTCAGTTTCCAGAGACTAACATGTGTTGGCAAATATGACAGAGCCTCAGAAGCTCAACTTCTCAAAGAAAACACGGAATGTCCATGAGCTACTGTGGCCTTTTTTGGGGGGGGGTGTCTTTTCACTGAGTTTTGAAGGAAAAAGGACCGTTGGATAAAACCAATATTCAACTTTTTTTTAAAAAACCATATCCTGCAGACTTTCTTGCCTCTGAGTATTATGATTAGGATAAAACGAAATTAGAAAATGAAAATATCTTGCAGGGGCTTCATCACTGGAGGTTTTTAAGAAAAGACTGGATGGCTATTTGTCTGAAATGGTATAGGTTCTCCTGCTTGAACAGGGGGTTGGACTAGAAGACCTCCAAGGATCCTTCCAGCTCTATTCTGATTATTGAATGTATAATTAAATTCACAATTATATCTCATGCTGGTTGCCTCTGCTTCCTTTGGTTGATGCTACCTACATAAGAAATCAGTCACCAAACTGAAGAGATATAATAGTAGAGCTGATGGACATCCTTACTGTGACAAAAGCTCTGTTGATGTTTCGAATGTTCTTACAAAAAGTCTTTTGAAGAGATGGCCTGAATGTTTTTCAGTGTAGTCTAAAATACTAAGCATTGACATAGACAAACAAGGAACAGCCAATTCCTTCATGTGGAGCAAAATAATTACTGTAAACATGATCCATTTAGAACCAGCAGAAATAGCTGGTTATATCCCATAACCTCATTCATTAAATCTTTCTTTTCCCTAATATGTTAGCTCTGTAATTGGAGGGCAAGAAAAATGAGATCTTAGACACAAGAGCAATTTCAGCTAAGTCTTCAGTAAGACTTGGCATCTTTTCTTTAATGGGTATCTCTTGTATTGGAATATAAATATTATACAACCCAAAGGTAATATATTAGTGATCCCATAATAATTAAGACATACAGTATTTTGCAACTAGTCCGCCTCTCTGATCTAAATCAGAATTAAGAAATGTGGAAAAATACAGAAGAGGCAATGCAAATTATGAAAAGGTTAATAAGGGAAGAGAATGGGATCCCAGCTCCTTTGAAAATTCAGTGTATGAAATAGAGAAAAAAGGCAGAAAAAAAGTGTTCATAAAATTAGAAAAATCAAAAACATATAATAGAAAAATTTAAAGAAGTAACCAGCAAGGAGTTTGCTTCAGCCACTTGTACTTCTCTGTTTTAAGCCCAAAAAAATTGAGCTTTTGTCTACTCATTCTCAGATGTAATTTTTGCCGTAGTCCCTTCAGTACTTTTTAGAAGAAAATAGGCTAAACCGAGGTAAAGATGAAGTTAGAAACATACCTTGATTTTCAGTGAAAATTATTGTTGTTTTTAGTTGCGAAGTCATGTCCGACCCATCGCGACCCCATGGACAACTTTCCTCCAGGCCTTCCTGTCCTCTACCATCCTCTGGAGTCCCTTTAAGCTCATGCCTACTGCTTCGGTGACTCCAGCCAGCCACCTCGTTCTCTGTTGTCCCCTTCTTCTTTTGCCCTCAATCGTTCCCAGCATTAGGCTCTTCTCCAGTGAGTCCTTCCTTCTGATTAGGTGACCAAAGTATTTGAGTTTCATCTTCAGGATCTGGCCTTCTAAAGAGCAGTCAGGGTTGATCTCCTCTAGGACTGACCGGTTTGATTGCCTTGCAGTCCAAGGGACTCAGGAGTCTTCTCCAGCACCGTAGTTCAAAGGCCTCCATTCTTTGGCGCTCAGCCTTCCTTATGGTCCAACTTTCACAGCCATACATTGCAACTGGGAAAACCTTGACTATATGCACTTTTGTTGGCAGGGTGATGTCTCTACTTTTTAGTATACTGTCTAGGTTTGCCATAGCTTTCCTTCCCAGATGGAAGGAAGGATCCCCTATCCAGGCCCCTAAAAAGGAGCCTGGATAGCTCAGCAGACTAATGCATTGTAATTTAACTGTCTGCAATTAGTAAGTTCGAATCTTGCCAGGCTCAAGGTTGACTCAGCCTTCCATCCTTTCTAAGGTAGGTAAATTGAGGACCCAGTTTGTAGGGGCAATAAGCTGACTTTGTAAAAATATACAAAAGTATGAAGGCTATTGCTTAACGCATTGTAAGCCGCCCTGAGTCTCCGGAGAAGGGCGGCATATAAATCAAAAAATTATATATATATTTTTTGGACCTAGCTTGTTCTAGGTTGCTCATCAGAGGTGGGTTTCAGCTTCACATGCATGCCAGAGCTGAGCTGGCGTGCCCACTGATATGGCTATAGGTTTGCCATCACGGTCCTAGAATAATGCACTTAACTTTTCTGTATTATTGCGAAGAAAACAACTTGGGTGTATTCCTATAGCCAGTAGTGGGCTGTTGCTGGTTCAGACCAGTTTGGGCAAATTGGTAGTTCCAATTTGGGCTGGCCCTACCCACCCCCCCTGGCGCTGTCACGTCCTATATAATCACCAGTTTTTCAATGCCGTGCAGATGCACAGAAGGTGCGCATGCTCACATTTTTGGTTCCGGGCGAACTGGTTGTTACAACCGGAAACAGCCCACCCCTGCCTATAGCCATTAGGAATCAAATTCAACATAAAAAAAGACATTTTATTTTAATTAACTTACAGGATGGGTTTTTCTTGTAGCTATCACAGCCCTCAAAAGTATTATTTCCTGCTGAATTGCCTCTTTTTAAAAAGTTCTTCGAAACAAGTTTTTTGGAGGGAATTTTTTATTTTATTTTAACATCTTTCATATTAACTTTTTAATGTTTTTATTGTTAACAAGCAAAAGACTTTGGCAATAGGTGGTTTTCTTCCCTGGCTATCATCATGGTAAACTTGACCCCCCTCTGTAAATCTGTTCATTAGTTGAAATGTTCTCTTAATTTCAGAAAGTCTTTTCATGTTCCCCGTTTCCAAAGGAAAAGCCGGGGTGGAGAAAGATGTATTTAGTCAGCGTCCATGCTGAAAATTTTATGACTGCAACAGAAAGGAAGCGGAAGTTTGGGATTGCTACTTGCAAAGTTGTTTGCCGTATCAGAGCATTAAGCATAATTGGCTTTCTATCCCTCCTGGGTAGAAGTAAGTGATAGCCCATAATAAAGAGCTTGAATGCTGTGAGTGACAGATATGGCATGCTTCTTTATGAAGATGTGACTATTCGGTATTTGGCTGGAAGGGTCTTGTGGAAGCTCATACCTTAGACTCTTAGGATAAGGCGTAATCACTACAAGGAAAGGATGATATGATAATTTAAGGTTGCTATGAAGGATATCGTAAAGCAAGCGTGCCCAGCACGTGGCCTGCAGGCCACATGCGGTCTGGACAGGCCATAATGTGGCCCCACAAGATCGAAAACTTCTGTTATTATGTGATTTATATATGTTAACTATATTATATATTTTATATGTGGCCTAAGATAAGTTCTTTTCACTCAGTGAGGCTCAGGCAAGCAAATAGATTGGACATCCATGCTCTAAAGCAGCGGTTCTCAACCTGGAGGTCGCGACCCCTTTGGGGGTCGAACGGCCATTTCACAGGGGTCGCCAAAGCCCTCTTTGCCCCCCCCCCGCCTTCACTCACCCTCAATCTCTGCCTCTGTTGGATCGCCGGCCGTTGATTAGATCAGCCTCGACTCTCAGCTGATTTGCTCTCAGCTGTTTTGCGGAGGGCTCTGTTGCTAGCTGCAAAAAAATCTCGAGCAGATTTTTTTCCCCCTAGCTGTGCTGAAAAAACAAAACTGAAAGTAAAACAGGGTCTTTGCTGCAACGTGACAAAATGAGGCAGAGAGAGATTTCTTTTTCTTTTTCCTCACCAAAAAAATGTAGGTGCAAAACTGCAAACAATGGGAAATTTAGGGCAAAAAAGGAGGTTCAAGATTTTAAACACAAAAGAAAAAAAGCTCTATTTAATTAGGGAATTGTAATAATTGAGATACTATTAATTGTATATAAAGCAACAATTTATTTATTTACTTACGTGCATCTGTCTTTATTATATTACAAATAACTCAAGGCAGCAAACATAATCCAACATACCTCCCTTCTCCTATTTTCCCCACAACAGCCCTGTGAGGTGAGTTGGAACCAAGAGAGAGTGATTGGCTCAAAGTCACTCAGTTGGTTTTCATGGCTAAGGCAGGAGTAGAACTCACAATCTCATTGGCCCAAAGACACCTAGGCAGCTTTTATGCCTCAGGTGGGACTAGAACTCACGGTCTCCCGCTTTTTAGCCAGGTGCCTTAACCACTAGACCAAACTAGCTGTCCAGTCAATGATTTTTAAATAAGCTAGAGATTCTTAGAAGGGGAGGAATTCGAACCTGCACCAAGTCAAGATGTGCTATTCCATTCCTAAAAAGAAGGCTAGGCCATACGAAGCAGTAATGGCAGAGTTGGCGAGAATAGAGAGAAATGTTAGATTCATTTTCCACTCGTCTTTCTCCTTCTTTCTTTAGGGATGAGAAGAACCAGTCCATTATCGTTAGCGGGGAATCCGGGGCGGGCAAAACAGTCTCGGCCAAATACGCCATGCGGTTCTTTGCCTCAGTTGGAGGCTCCTCCAGCGAATCCAATATTGAAGAGAAGGTCCTGGCTTCCAGTCCTATCATGGAGGTAAGGTCTTTGGCGATGGTGGTGGGGAGATTCTTTTATTGTTGTATAATGCAAAGAAGAACATTTGTGTCACCCTGAAAATATTGAGCTCCCAGTTTCTGCCAACCTAGCAGTTCGAAAGCATGTAAAAAATGCAAGTAGAAAAATAGGGACCACCTTTGGTGGGAAGGTAACAGCGTTCCATGCGCCTTTGGCGTTTAGTCATGCCGGCCACATGACCACGGAGACTCTCGTCTTCAGACAGCGCTGGCTCTTCGGCTTTGAAATGGAGATGAGCCCCGCCCCCTAGAGTTGGGAATGACTAGCACATATGTGCGAGGGGAACCTTTACCTTTACCTTTTAGTCACTAAGTTGTGTCCGGCTCTTTGTGACCCCATGAACTATATCATCCAGCCCCCGGTCATCCATTATCTCCTGCCCAAATCCATGTTCATTGTGTTAATGACGCTAACCATCTTCTCCTCTGCCGCTTCCTTCTTCTTTTGCCTTCAATCTTTTCCAACATCTTTTCCAAGGTCTGTGTGTGTGGGCTGTCTGTCTGTCTGGTTGTCTCTGTCTGTCCATCCATCCATCCATCCATCCATCCAGGGGTGGGTTCTACTCACCTTTACTACCAGTTTGCAACTTGGCCGCGCACTCTCTTGCTTCACTTGCGCTCTTCTGCGCATGTGCAGAAGTCTTCTGATGACGTCAGGGTCAGTGGGAGGAGCCTCCCTTCGGTTTTACTACCGATTCTATAGAACCAGTCCGAACCGGGAGCAACCCACCCATCCATCCTTATCTTGCCTTTATTTAATTTTACAAATAACTCAAGGAAGCAGACAAATTCATCAGACCTTCCTCCTTCTTTCGTCCCCACAACAACAACCCTGTGAGATAGGTTGGGCTGAGAGAGAGAGACTGATTGGTTCAAAATCATCCAATTGGCTTTCCTGCCTAAGGCAAGACTAGAACTCACAGTCTCCTGGTCTCTAGCCTGGTGATAAGAGTTCAGACTTCGTGCACTGCTTCTCCAGTTCCAGGGAGACCGAGTTCTAATGACAGGGTTTTTAATTTAAAAGGACATTGATGAGACAACGGAAGGAGCAAATTCTGGTACTGTTAATTCAAACATGCGGTGGAATATCTCACAACAAGCATACAATATTTTGTAGCTTCTAGTGGAATTTCAGTCATTATTATCAATGGGTATTTTTTTCAGTTGTCCTAGCAGGTTTGTGAGAGTTTTCGGCCCTCTTTGCAAATGTGTTCTGTCTCGGGGTCAGCTTTTATGTTGCTTGCTCTCCCTGTTATTTGGCTGTGCTGACTCATGCAATTTCTAAAAACATGCCACAGATGTGCAAAGGCATCTCATATGCATCAGTGCAGCCAATCAATTAAAATTAAACGGTGGCGTGAGCCAGCAAGGCCAACACGACACTAATGTTTGGCGATGAGTATCATCATTTCATTTTATTTCTGTACCCGGGCTTGATTTTGAGGTGGAAATGAAAACCTTTGGGCGATCATAATGAACTCTGCAGGCCAGTCCTTAATTCTGCTGCGTAAGCTGCAGCTGCAGTACCAAGAGGCATATCAGAAAGATTTCTCAGAACAAAAACATATTTCTCTCCCTTTGGAAAAACTGCCAAAACACTCCCAATCCTGCTATTCAAGGGGATGAGCTCTAAAGTCTTAGAAAATTCGGAAGGTCAGCATTTGAGGAGCATCTGTCCTTTTATATACATTTAAGGCCTTTCAATTCAAAGGCAAAAAAAAGAGATAATGGGGTAAAGGTAATCCTCGGTTTACAACGGTTCATTTAGCGACTGTTCAAAGTTACAACGCCAACTGTAAAAAATGACTTATGACTGTTTTTTTCACACAACGGATAGAGCATCCCCATGGTCTCATGATCAAAATTTGGATGCTTGGCAACTGGCTCATATTTATGACGGTTGCAGTGTACCAGGGTCACGTTTTGTGACCTTCTGAAAAGCAAAGTCAATGGGGAAGTCAGATTCACTTAACAACCGTGTTAGTAACGTAACAACTTCAGTGATTCACTTAACAACTGTGGCAAGAAAGGCCATAAAATGGGGCAAAACTCACTTAACAGCTGCCTCACTTAGCAATGGAAATGTTGGGCTCAATTGTGGTCGTAAATTGAGGAGTAGCTGTATGTAGCGCTCTTTAAAGATGATACTTTTTTCCTAAAAGGTGAGCTGCGACTTGTTGGGTAGTTGTGTCATTCTCAGAAGAGATGCAGCTGCAGGAATTACACAGAGAGGGTGCAGGAGTTCCCAAAACTGTTTTGCTTTCAGATCTGAAGTCCTGCACCGGGTTCTGCCCAGAGCCTCAATTTCCCCTAGAAAATAGTGTGGAAGATAGCTAGTTGTCCTCGAATTGCCCTTTGATGGATTATTAACAACTCAGTCTGCAATAAAACCACCATGACAATCAGCTACACACTAACTACTATCCAAAAGACATGATTAAATGCCTTAGTTTTACAACCCATGGACAGATTTAACCATGGTTTCAACTGGGAAACTATTTATTTTATTTATTTATTTATTTATTTATTAGATTTTTATACCGCCCCCTCTCCCGAAGGACTCGGGGCGGTGAACAGCCAAAGTTAAAAACATACAATATAAACAATTAAAATACGTTTAAAACAGAATTAAATCTAAAATGGCTCCCCAATTTAAAATGCCTTACCCATACCCCTATAAAAAGACGAATTTAAAATTTAAAAAATTTAAAATTTCCACATTTAAAAAGGGGGAAGATTTAGGCCAACTATGAGCAACAGTGGTGGGTTTCAAAAATTTTTACTACTGTGGGTAGGTTTGTGGCTTGGTGCGTGTGGCATGGCTAGGAGGGCATGGCTTGGTGAGCGTGGCAGGGGAAGGATACTGTAAAATCTTCATTCCCACCCCACTCCAGGGGAAGGATATTGCAAAATCTCCATTCCCTCCCCAAACCAGGGGAAGGTTACTGCAAAATCCTCATTTCCTCCTGATCAGCTGGGACTCGGGAGGCAGAGAATTGATGGGGCGGGGCCAGTCAGAGGTGGTATTTACCGGTTCTCCGAACTACTCAAAATTTCCACTACCAGTTCTCCAGAACTGGTCAGAACCTGCTGAAACCCAGCTCTGATGAGCAACCTAGAACAAGCTAGGTCCAAAAAATACTTGAAAATTCCTGGAAGCTAGCATTTAGACAAATCAGCCATCAACAGTCACATAGAGATAAACAACATCTACATGCTGTTTAAGACAGACAATTAAAAAGCCAAAAAGGAAGCAAAAAACCCCTAAAAGACCTCACCAGAAACCAACACCCAGCTTATTACCAGGGATTAACACCAGGATTAATATTAGACTGGCAATCAAGCAGTAAACAATACCCTAATCAAGGAACTACCAACTCAGACAAACAAACTACCAGTAAACAGCACCCTAATCAAGGAACCACCAAGAACAAGCTCCAACACTGACAAGGCAAGCCATCTGTATATGAACAGAGTGCAAAACCTTATAGCACTGATGATGTTACCTAGTTGGGTAATGAAACGTCAGCAAGAAAACCATTGAGCTCAGAGGCCAGCAACGACCCCACAGTTGAGCCCTCAGCTACAAATATTCTCTCCTATCAATATAAGTGACAATTGGGGGGTGGGGGGGGGAGGGGGTGGCTATTACCTCAAATTCTTTCTTTGAATTTTAATATTTGAAGGTTTTATTCAGAAGGAGAAAGATAGTGGCCGGATCCTAGGCTTTGCATTCAAATAAGGCTTTTTCAAACAAATGCTAAAACAAATTATGACTTAGTTTGCTATGTGAATGCAACCAACATAGGCCCCAATTCACCTAGGATAGGTGTGTTCCAGGGGTGGGTTCTAAATTTTTTTACTATCGGTTCTGTGGGTGTGGCTTATTTTGTGGGCGTGACTTGATGGTCATGTGACAATTCTTTAGGATTTAGCAGAGGTACTGGTCTACCAGGCTTTTAACTGCTTGCAGAGCTGTACTGGTCTACCCATTTGTTTTTGGAGGCACCAGTCTACTCATTTGTTTTTGGAGGCATCGGTCTACTCATTCGTTTTTTGGAGGCACCAGTCTACTCATTCATTTTTGGAGGCACCGGTCTACTCATTTGTTTTTGGAGGCACCGATCTACCACCACACTGCCTTTTAACACTGATCAGCTGTAGGGCGGCCCTTTGAAGCTCTGTGGCAAGAGTTTAAACAGTTTTTTTCCTTCTAGCCGATCAGCTGGGACTCGGGAGGTAGTAATAGATTGAGGGTGGGGCCAAATAAAAGGTAAGAATAACACGGGGGGGGGCAGCTCCAGAACAAAGAGAACTGGTTCGGTGACGTCATATCGTCACCGCTACCGGCTCGGCCGAACCGGGAGGAACCCACCACTGGCATGTTCTGAATGAAAACTTAATAAGAGGGTGCTGATTAAAAGTGCATTGTACTTAATTTAAGTGCAGCAATCAGTGGGGACCTTTCCTATGAAGGAACTTTACTAAAAAAAACTATCTGGCATATTTATATTTTGAGAATTTAATAGCTTTGCTCCTCCTTTTCTACACAATAACTTCCAGAGGAATCTTATTACCATTCCACCCTGTCTATGTTGTTCTATGCCTATGGATACTACATAAAAAAATCTGTTCCTATTTCAAAAACTCCAATAAGGTAGAAAATATGAGCAGAAGATTATTGGCATGAATGTACTACTACTACTACTACTACTACTACTACTATTATTATTATTATTATTATTATTATTATTATTATTATTATTATTGCTTTTAATCAATTTTTAAAACCAGAATCCATTCTTTCATTAATGCTTAAATGAAGATCCAGAGTTGTGAATTCTTGATAAGACACTGTTTTCTATGCCAGTTTGTAGGTTGTTATTAATTTTAGTTTTGGCTAGTATTTTTAAAGGTATACAGCTAGGTTCTGTTCTTATATAAGCTGTTTGCCACTTAGCAGGCATGGTTGCTAAGCACAGTTTCGCTAAAACCTTTGTAAGCACAGTTCATTTCAATTGCTTTACTGTAATTAGTTTAGCTCAAGTTCTGAGCTATTAAGACACAAATATGTGGCTTTGTCCCAACTTTACATGTAATGAAAAATCAGTAAAGCTGTATATCCAGAACTGAAACCATCAATGCAAGCTTCCATTGGTCTCTCTCTTAGAAAGCAAACACTATAGAAAGCAAAAAGTATAGACTAATTATGGTAAATCAGGATTGTTTGAATAAAACATGATTGTTTGGGTCCATACAAGATAACAACAGACCTACCCACATGTAATTTTAAACAACATTCAATTTCATAAGAAGTATACTCGTTCTAACTAACACAATAAAGTGTGTATTTACATGAATTTATTTGGGGACAGACATATGCTGCAATAGATTGCACTTTTCAAGCAACACAGAAGTTAGCATCACTCATTGTTTGTTTGTTTGTTTATTTATTTGAATTTGTCAAACAAAAACGAGAAGAATAAGAGAATAAAAATACAATAACAGGGATGAAGTGTGACTTGTTTGATTTTGGCTCAAGCTGTGGTGTGAATCCAGCCATTGTTGTTGGCAGATCCTATTTTGTGGTGTGTTATCTTGTATGGACCCAAACAAGCATGGTCTCATCTGGGTGGCCAAAAACTCTTTAATATGATGTTCTTTGCATATTTTTATGGTTTATTTGCAAATACAGGTAGCCCTTGACTTACAACAGTTCCCTTAGTGACCATTCAAAGTTACAAAGGCACTGAAAAAGTAACTTATGACCGGTTTTCACAATTATGACATTTCCAGTATACCCATGATCATGTGATCAAAATTCAGATTCTTGGCAATTGGTTCATATTTATGACTGTTGCTGTGTCCCAAGGTCATGTACTTTGAACTTTCTGGCAAGCAAAGTCAATGGGGAAGCCAGATTCATTTAACAACCAGGTTACTAATTTAACAACTGCAGTGATTCACTTAACAACTGAGGCAAGAAAAATTGAAAAATGGAGCAAAATTCATTTAACAAATGTCTCACTTAAGAAATGTTGGGCTCAATTGTGGTCGTAAATTGAGGACTACCTGTATATAATCTGCAATTCTGTATTTCCTAACCAATTTAGGCTTCTGGAGGACACTAGATTGGGAAATTAATCTATGACATTTTGAAGCTTTGAGTAGTAGAGTTAGTTCCAATAAAGGCACATTAAGTATCTTGATTGCCTCTTAGCATTCAATTGTGAAGCCCAAGTTGTCTGGGAAATTGAATTCTACCCATCTTAAAATGCCAAGTTTGAGAAACGATCTAGAGAATCTAGAGTGTTAATTAAATATGATAACAAAATTACTTTGCTGCCGTCTTCATTGTTTAAACTCTAAAACAAGCTTGTAAAAGCAATCATTGCTGGTTTTTGTTTCACAGGTAGAGGGAATAAGGCTAATAGCTATTTTATGATCTTGTTAAAGGATGTTGCACTTAATCTTCAAGCAATGTTGCTCTCTCCATCTTTCATTCTCTCGGTCTTTCCCTTAATATTGTTTTTTTTAAAAAATTATATGCAATTAATTAATGAAGTGTACTTGTGAGATGAATGAATATTGATGAAAAAAGATATTACATTTTTAACATTTTATTAATTTCATAAAGGCAATTGGTAACGCGAAAACCACCCGGAATGATAACAGCAGCCGTTTTGGGAAATATATTCAGATTGGCTTCGATAAAAGATACCGTATCATTGGTGCCAACATGAGGACGTACCTGCTTGAAAAATCAAGAGTGGTATTCCAGGTTAGCTTATTTATCATTCATTCATTCATTTATTTATTTATTTATTTATTTATTTATTTATTTATTTTTAATTTGATTTATATGCCGCCCTTCTCCGGAGACTCAGGGCGGCTTACAATGCGTTAAGCAATAGCCTTCATACTTTTGTATATTTATACAAAGTCAGCTTATTGCCCCCACAAACTGGGTCCTCATTTCACCTACCTTAGAAAGGATGGAAGGCTGAGTCAACCTTGAGCCTTGGAGAGATTCGAACCAGCAGTAATTGCAGGCAGCTGTGTTAATAACAGGATGCTTAGACCACTGTACTAACAAGGCTCTTGATTTACAAATTTTATTATTTATATATAATATGTATGTGTCTGTGAGAGAGAGAATAGATACCCTGTTTCCCTGAAAATAAGACATCCCTTGATAATAAGCCCAATCGGGCTTTTGAACGCATGCGCTAAAGTAATCCCCCCCTGAAAATAAGCCCTCCCTGAAAATATTTAAATGCATGCACAGCCGGTCCCCGCCATTTCCTCTGGATTCCTCCACGTGCCCCAAAATAATAAGACCTCCCCAAAAATAAGGCCTAGTGATTATTTCAGGGTTCAAAAAAATATAAGACAGGATCTTATTTTCAGGGAAACACAGATAGATAGATAGATAGATAGATAGATAGATAGATAGATAGATAGATAGATAGATAGATAGATAGATATTGATAGATACCGGTAGATAGACAGACACCAGTAGACAGACAGACAGACAGATTGATTTGTCCTTCCCGATCTGAGGATTGAATAAGAACTGTATGATGGCTTCGGTCCAGATTGGTGCTCATCCCAACTACTACAAATCCTGTAAAATACAACGCTAATATTCACTCTTACGTTACAATATTAATTACAATAGACGGGGCTACTCTGTGTCTTATCTGTTTTAAAGTTTTATGAATGGATACCTCTTCCTTCATGCCTTATGATGAAGTCTGGTGAGAATGGAGGTGTTTAGTTTTTAAGGAATTCTAAGAATGTGTGTGGGTGGGGGGTTAATTTGCTTTTCCACTTAGAAAACAAAGTATTGCGTCAGTTAATTCATCTCCTCTAGTATCAAACTACCATTACATTTGAAAAAGAAACTGTGGGTATTTGATTGGCTTATCTTAACAGAAGTTGCCTTCCATCTTTCCCAACATCAGCTTCAGAATCTGTCCTTCCAAAGGCCAGTCAGTATTGACTTCTTTTCGGTTTGGCAGATTTGATCTTCTTTCAGCCCAAGGGACTCTCAAGAGTACAGATAGTCCTCGGTTTACAACAGGTCATTTAGTGACCGTTCAAAGTTACAACAGCACTGAAAAAAGTGACTTATGGCCGTTTTTCACACTAACGACCGTCGCAGCACCCTCGTGGTCACATGATCAAAATTCAGACACTTGACAACTGTTTCACATTTATGACGATTGCCGTATCCTGGGGTCATGTGATCCCCTATTGAGACCTTCTGACAAGCAAAGTCAACGGGGAATCCAGATTCACTTAACAAACCATGCTACTAATTTAACAAATGCAATGATTCACTTAACAACTGTGGCATGAAAGGTCGTAAGGTGGGGCAGACTCGCTTAAGAAATGTTTTGCTTTGCAACATCAATTTTGGGCTCAGTTGTGGTCGTAACTCAAGGACTACCTGTATTCTTCAGCACTCCAATTCGAAAGCATCAAAGTATCTTCATAATCTTATTCAAATATAACAAACTATAGTTTCTTTGCTGAAGGAAGCTGCTACTGATCTCCATGCGCTCCATATTCACAAGCTGAGAGGCGGAGATGATGGATTATAAGTGACCTGAAATATGAATAAGGCATTTCAACAATCCTTAGCTACCTGAGATAGGATATGTCGGAGCCCTTGTTTAAAGATGTTTCACATGAATCTGAGGAGTGATTTCACATGGAAACAGTCAGTAAGATGCTGAGGAGAAAGACGTCTAATTTTATTTGAATCTCCTCTACTTTGAATGATTTGGCAGATGTACTCATTCCAATTGAAAGGAAACCTCCTCGCCCATGATTCATTAGGTACATGGACATTGAGACCTGAGTGGTGTGGTGGCCTAGAGGTGGAGCTCTTGCCTCACAATCAGGAAGTTGTGAGTTCGATCCTAGGTAGAGGCAGATATATTTTTCTCTCTCTGAGCACTCTCTCTGAAAATATATCTTCTGAAAAAAACTCTGCATTGGCAACAGGCAGGGCATCCGGCCAGTAAACACTCCATTCAGATGCCCAGACTTCACCCCGCAAGGGATTATGGGGTTGTTAAAAGAGGATGATGGACATTGAGAACCGTGATTTAGAATCTACAAGAATGAAAATCTTGGCAGGATTTGAATAGCTTCACAATCAGCTATAACTAAAACTTACATTTGAGTCATCTGAGCAGTGGTGAAATCCAAATTTGTTTACTACCGGTTCTGGTGGCATGGCTTGGTGGGCGTGGCATGGCTTGTGGGTGTGGCTTGGTGGGTGTAGCATACTGCAAAATCTCCATTCCCACCCCATTCCAGAGGAAGGATATTGCAAAATCTCCATTCCCACCCCACTCCTGGGGGAAGGATATTGCAAAATCTCCATTCCCACCCCACTCCTGGGGGAAGGATATTGCAAAATCTCCATTCCCAACCCACTCTGGGACCAGCCAAAGGTGGTATTTGCCGGTTCTCCGAACTACTCAAAATTTCTGCTACCGGTTCTCCTGAACCTGTCAGAACCTGCTGGATTTCACCCCTGCATCTGAGTATACATAGTCCTTGACTTACAACCATTCATTTAGTGACTGAAGTTACACAACGGCACTGAAAAAAGTGATGACCGTTTTTTGCACTTACAACCGTTGCAGCATCCCCATGGTCACGTGATCAAAATTTGGACACCAGGCAGTTGGCTCACATCTATATCACGTTGTAGTATCCTGGGGTCATGTAATCACCTTTTGCGGCCTTCTGACAAGCAAAGCAATGGGGAAGCCAGATTCATGAGCAACTATGTTACTAAGTTAATAACTTCAGTGATTCACTTAACAACTAGAGCAAGAAAGTGTCTATGGAGATTCTCAATCATCCAGGTCATGGTTGTCCTGAAGGCAACTGGACTTTCTTGGTTTTTTTCCTTCAAAACATCTCACTTATTTATTTTATTTTATTTTATTTTATTTTATTTTATTTTATTAAATTTCTATACCGCCCTTCTCCCGAAGGACTCAGGGCGGTGAACAGCCACGAGATAAAACACATAAATACAAAAAATTTAAAATGAATTAAAAACGAATTAAATAATTTGGCTGAATTTAAAATACCCCATAATTTAAAACAAATTAAAATTTACATTTAAAAATTTACATTTAAAAAGGGGAGAAGAGAAGACTTCTTATCCAAGAAGCTTTTTTGGTTCTGAAGAATGCCAGCTTTTCAGTCAGAACCGAAGAAGCTTCTTGGATGAGAAGCAAAACCTTTCAAGGACAAAAAAACCCAAGAAAGTCCAGTTGCCTTTTGAAAAGCACCATTGTGGCAAGAAAGGTAGTAAAATGGGCCAAAACCGGTGGTGGGATTCAGCCGGTTTGGGCTGGTTTGGGCAAACCAGTTGTTAAATTGCTGGCTGGCCCCTCCCCTCCCCGCCCCTTCCAGGAGTTCCCCCGTGGCCCATTTTTACTCCGAGGAGGCTGCAGGGAGGCCTACTAGGCCCAAAACGGGGTACGGGGGGATGGGTGCGGCAGGCCAGCCCCCCCTCCCCCGCAGCCCATTTTTGCTCCCAGGAGGCTGCAGGGAGGCCTACTAGGCCCAAAATGGGACACGGGGTGTGGGGCGCCGGGCCCCCATGGCCCGTTTTTGCTCCCAGGAGGCTCTAGGAGGCCAAGTTCTGCCTGTCGCACTCCCCTGGCCATGCCCACCATGCCCACACCCACCCAGCCAGTCATTAGGGCAGAGAACCGGTTGTTAAATTATTTGAATCCCACCACTGGCCAAACCTCAATTGTCTTGCTTAGGAAGGAAAATGTTGGGATCAATTGTGGTTGTAAGTCGAGGACTACCTGCAATTTGTGACTACTGGTGCGGACCAATGTTTGAGCATTGTGATTTTGTATTTTTATTCCTGTATGATCTCTCCTTTGTCCGTTTGAGATTAAGGTTACATACATAACATCTCCATTTAGATCCTAATTAGAAGAGACACATTGAGTCAGAAACTTAAGCAGGATCAGTCCTAGCTGGTTGATGGATAGGAAACCTCGTCTAGAAAATCCCAGCACTGTAGGCTATATTAAGTGTACAATCTGTAAAAGCTTAATTTGGAAGGGGCTCCTGTCCAGCCTCCGTTCTTCTGCTATAAAATGAAGTTAATCCCTCATGCATTTTAACGACGGCAGTTTTAGACTTTCTCATTCTTTCATAACCATAATCAGAACAGTGCCAGTTTGTTTGCCATTCATTTAATCCTCGTCTCCTAGTTTAATTAGATTAAAACTAATTCTAGATAATATTCTTTTTTTAAAAAAAAAAAAATCCATTCTTACCTTGAAGAAATATGTGTGAAATTTGAGTTTGAATAAATTTACAGTGAATTCTGTCAGGGTTCCAAGGAACACCCCCAACAAAATAAATTCCTTCCCCCAACCTTTCCAGGTTGGCGGCCAGGAAGGGAGGAAGAAGAGGGGATAGTTTTGTGGGAGAGGCAGGCCCGTGCACGCGGTCACCCATTGCTCACGCAAGTGGGGCCCCGAGCCCAGGGATGAAATGTAAAATTTGTTACTACCGGTTCTGTGGGCGTGGCTTGGTGGTGGTGGGTAATGTGACTGGGTGGGGGTGGCCAACTTTTTTTTTTTTAACTTTTCAAAGCATTTTTTCTAATGCTTTGAAAAGCTTCTGCCAATCAGGCAACTCAGCTGGAATCGTCAGAGAGGCTTTTTAAAAAAATACCTCTCTGCCAATCAGGCAACTCAGCTGGGATCGTCAGAGAGGCTTTTTTAAAAATACCTCTCTGCCAATCAGGCAACTCAGCTGGGATCGTCAGAGCTTTTCAAAGCATTTTTTTACCACCTCTTCGGCCAAGAGGTTGCAGAAAAAAAATTCTTTGAAAAGCCTCTGATGATCCCAGCTGAGCTGCGCAATCATCAGAGGCTTTTTTTTTTTTTTTTTTACTTTTTAAAAGCATTTTTTCGTCGGAAGAGGTTGTAGAAAAAATACTTTAAAAAAAAAAAAGCCTCTGATGATCGTGCGGCTCAGCTGCGCGTGGGGCGGGGGGGCGCAGGGATTTTTGCTCCTGGTTCTCCGAACCACCCGCCGCCATCTCTACCAGATCGGGTGATCCGGTCTGAACTGAGAGCATTTCACCCCTGCCTGAGCCCCCCTGACACTTGCACAAGTAGGGCTGTGTGCATATGCATTGCGCGCATAGCAGCCAGCTACTCACATGGCCCAGTTGTGAATAGGCCACAGGTTGGGAACCCCTGATCTAGAGAAAGAGGAAAAGGATATGCTGAATGATATTTAATTAATTGTAGCTCATTTCTCTGCAAATAAACTGATGTTCTCTCTCAGGCAGCTGATGAGCGAAACTATCACATTTTCTATCAGCTGTGTGCCTCTGCTAGTCTCCCAGAACTGAAGGATCTCTCATTATGTAAGTATGCTATTTTGCACACAGTATTTAGCCTCCACAATGAACTTTCAAAATAATTCCAAATAATAAATTTGTGGAGCCTAGCATTTCCGAGAAAAAGAACTGTGCTTAGAGAAAGAATGAAGTTGTTCAACCAGTGGCAGAATTGGTTTTGTGAAACAAAATAAGCAGCTTGCGGTCTGACACACCATTTTGAGACCACACCAGGGACGGTGTTGAAGTTCCCAGGGCTTTTGGTGACTTCAGATGGCGAACCGATGGCACGCATTCCACAGGTGGCACGCAGAGTCCTCTCTGTGGGCACGCCAGCTGTCACCCCAGCCCAGCTCCACTGCACATGTGTGCATGCCTCCTGCCGACCAGCTGGTCTTTGGGTTTCTGCCGCACATGAGTGGGTGGTGGGGCACATGCGGGGGACACATGTGCATGCGCAGGGGGTGCATGCACGGGGGGGTGCGGGTTGGTGCAGGAGGCTTTCCAGGCCCAAAATAGGACGTGGTGGGGGGGCCTCGCACGGCACCCCTGCACCCTATTTTGGGCCTGGAAAATCTCCTGCACCAATCTGGAAGCCAAAATGGTGTGCTGGGGGTGGCGGGTGCAGTCGCGGGGAGGCAGGATGCATGCATGGGGGACATGCACATGCGAATGCTCGCATTGCATTTTGGCGGTTCGGGCACTCGCACCTGCATTCGCACGCGCGCATGGGCGCTTTGGGCACTTGGCACCAAAAAGTTTAACCATCACTGCCATAGAGTCTCCTCCTAGCGCAGCCTCCTTTTTCCTCTGCCAACTGGAAGTCCGGTTCCTCACCACAGAGTATCCTCCTAACGCAGCGTCTTTTTTCCTCTACTGTCCTAACCGAAAGTCCTATCAATTGTGGAGCTGACCAGCGACAGGGAGCCGCAGCAGAGGGATGAAAGAGCCACATACGGCTCCAGAGCTGCAGATTGCCAAGCCCTGCTTTAGCCCCTTGGTTTACTGAAGATCTAATGGAAGTTTCAAAAGCTGCCTCAGATGAAGGAATGGAAGACCAGAAATGGAGCAACTGAGCCCTGGGAGGAGTTGATGTTTGAGCTTGTGTGGTGCTTATTGTGGTGCTCATTTTTCTGTGCTTATTGTGTGCACAGATTGTTTCCTTGTGGGTTTTGGGGTTCAGGCAAGTCTTTTCAGGAAACGTGACCTAAGTGCAAGCATTTCTCCCCCTTGACTTAATTTTGCTGTTGTTTCTATTCTAGTGGAGGCCAAAGATTTTTTCTACACGTCTTTGGGAGGAGACACCTCCCTTGAAGGAGTTGACGATGCAGAAGATTTTGAGAAAACAAAGCAAGCCTTCACCCTGCTCGGTAAGGATTTCAACCCAAATTGGGCTGCTTCCTAGGAGAACATGTGGCTGATACAGCTATCCTGTAGGAAAATGTAGAGTAACTCTCCAGGAAGTTTTCACAATATTGCAAAGTTTCGATAGAAGAGAATATTTGTGGCTCAGGGTTGAACTATGGGATCCTTGATGTTGTTTGAGCTTCTTTTTCCTCTGCCAGCTTCTTTTTCCTCTTTTTCTCTTCTGTTCTGACCTAGGCTTCCCCAAACCACGAAGCAGACTCCTTGTCCTGACCAAAACCCCTTTGATTTAATTTACAGTGAATTCCTCTCCAGCAAAGTCTTCCTTCTCCATCACAGTCTTTCAACATAGTTCACAATTACCGACCTTTATCAGGCTTGGAGAGTGGCCAGGCCGATATCTTTCAGATGCTGCAATACTTGGCAAGAATGCAGCAATGAACTAATTGTCTCCTGCAAACTCCACTCCCCTTTCTCTCCTTTTTCATTAATGAATGGTTGTAAGTCGAGGACTACCTGTAGTTGTGGGTGAATGCTGGCATGTCACCCAAAGCGTATAGGTTCACCATCACCGATTTAAAGAGAAGGTAGTTTCTTTCCCCGCCCCCCCCGAAACTGTGGTGTTTGTGGTCCAGGGATGGTCAATTTATGATGGTCCAGATTTTGCTGAAAATCCATCTTCCAGCATCCCTCATCGTATGTCATACTCGCTGGGACTTCTGGCAAATTGCTGTTCAGGCACTTGAAAATTGGATATCAATCATATTTTTCAGGAGTAAAGGAGTCCTATCAGATGACCATTTTTAAGATACTCGCTGCCGTCCTACACCTTGGAAATGTGGATTTTCGTTCCGAACGTGACGGAGAATCCTGCAGTATAACGGTACGTTTTTAGCGGGTACATAACGGGGCTCTGTACATCAAAGAGGAAACATCTTTAGATCTGCTTTTTTTTCTTAATCTTTTGATTAATGCGATGCACATCAAAAAGAAGCAGGGCTTTGATTGTGTAAGACTACTAGAGCCTCCTAAATTGCAAGGGCTTCTTTCAAGAGGGCTGTCCAATTTTTGTGACACCGCACACCTAATGTTATGCAAAGTCTTGATGTAATTATATCCCATGTCAAGGGAATTCCCTTGAGACCTTTAGGGTCTGAGATACTTCTTTATATTCTCATTATTCAGACAGAGCAGGGAAGGAAGGAATCAATGGCCAGAGTTTTATAAGCCTTAATAAATCCTGCAGAGCAAAATGTTCATCTTTTCACTTAACTCACCTCTATTCTAACCAGGGACTATTCTAATCAGGGATGTGGTGGCTCAGTGGCTAAGACGCTGAGCTTGTCGATCGAAAGGTCGGCAGTTCAGCGGTTCGAATCCCTAGTGCCATGTAGCTCCCGTTACTTGTCCCAGCTTCTGCCAACCTAGCAGTTCGAAAGCACGTAAAAAAATGTAAGTAGAAAAATAGGGACCACCTTTGGTGGGAAGTAACAGCGTTCCGTGCACCTTTGGTGTTTAGTCATGCCAGCCACATGACCACGGAGATGTCTTCGGATAGTGCTGGCTTTTCGGCTTTGAAACGGAGATGAGCACCGCCCCCTAGAGTGGGGAACGATTAGCACATCTGTGCGAGGGGAATCTTTACCTTTTTATTCTAACCAGATAAAATGTGATACAATTGCTGATTATTACAGTTAGTCCTCAACTTACCAACACAATTGAGCCCCAAATTTCCATTGCTGAGCAAGACAGTCATTAAATGAGTCTTGCCCCCATTTTATGACCTTTCTTGCCACAGTTGTGAAGTAAACCACTGCAGTTGTTAAGCTAGTAACACGGTTGTTCGGTGAATTTGGCTGCCTGATTGACTTTGCTTGTCAGAAGATTGCAAAAAGGGATCATTTGACCCAGGACACTGCAACTGTCATAAATATGAGCCAGTTGCCAAACATCTGAAGTTTTATGAAGATGCTGCGACGGTCGTAAACGTGAAAAACGGTCAAAGTCACTTTTTCAGTGTCATTGTAACTGTGAACAGTTCACTAACCGAACGGTTGTAAGTTGAGCGCTGCCCACATGCGTTTCCATGATCGTCAGCTGAAGTGTTTTGTTTTGTTTTTTTCTAATTCAAATATTAAAACATGGTTTGCAAGGTTTTTTTTTTTGTTTTTTTAATTTGATTTATATGCCGCCCTTCTCCGGAGACTCAGGGCGGCTTACAATGCCTTAAGCAATAGCCTTCATACTTTTGTATATTTATACAAAGTCAGCTTATTGCCCCCACAATCTAGGTCCTCATTTCACCTACCTTTGAAAGGATGGAAGGCTGAGTCAACCTTGAGCCTGGTGAGATTTGAACTTGCAGTAATTGCAAGCAGCAGATGTTAATAACAGTGCTTTAGTCCACTGTGCTACCAAGGCTCAGTTGCTGCACTTCCTTAAGGTTGCTGCACTTCTTTAAGAAATAATGCAGTGGCCTATTTTTAATTCTTAGGCTTGGACATACTGAGTCCATAAGCAAATCTCCTTTTCAGGTATTGCTGTCCTTAATGATGTTGATGCTGCTTAATTGAAATGCATCCATGATTCTGGACGCTTGATCTGCCTGCTAACTTATTTAGTCAGCGAAACGCAGCAAAATATGAGGTGCAGAGAAAAAGTTTTCTACGGTCTACATTCCTGGCCTAATTCAGCCTCCTGGGGCTCCTTTCTTTCGTTTGAGAATTGCCAGCATAACAATTACGCGCTAGTGAAGACTTCTTACAGTAGTAATTCCAACACAATTTGAGTGCAATAAATGGGGATTGTCAGGACTTCAAATTACAAAACTGGATTCTCCTGAGTACAGAACGTTCGTCAGATTTTTAAATCACGTGCACAATTGTGCAATTTTTAACACACACACCCCCCGTGTTTGTTAACAGTTTTCAAAATAATCTAAATCCCATCAAGTTTCTTGCATCGGCTCCTGAGAATCTTATGAGAGAAACAGAGATCTTATGAGATTCGGCAGACTTGCAAAATAACACCCTCAACCAGGGGTGAAATCCAGCAGGTTCTGACGGGTTCTGGAGAATCGGTAGCGGAAATTTTGAGTAGTTCAGAGAACCGGCAAATACCACCTCTGGCTGGTCCCAGAGTGGGGTGGGAATGGAGATTTTGCAATATCCTTCCCCCAGGAGTGGGGAGGGAATGGGGATTTTGCAGTATACTTCCCCTGCCATGCCGACTATACCACGCCCACCAAGCCGTACCACGCACACCAAGCCACGCCCACAGAACCGGTAGTAAAAAATAAATAAATTTCACCACTGCCCTCAACCCCAGTAAGCCAATCTCTGATGCTTGATCAGATATACACGTAGTCCTCAACTTACAACAGTTCGATTAGTGACCGTTCAAAGTTGCAACGGCACTGAAAAATGTGACTATTACCTTTTTCATAGTTACGACTTTTGCAATATCCTCATGGCCACGAGATCAAAATTCAGATGCCCTACAACTGACTCCTATTTATGACCTTTGCCATGTCCCCGGGGTCATGTGATCCCTTTTGCGACCTTCTGACAAGCAAAATCAATGAGGAAGGCAGATTCTCTTAACAACTGTGCAACTAACTTAACACCTGCAGTGATTCACTTGACAATGGTGGCAAAAAGAGTCGTAAAATGGGGCAAAACTCACTTAGCCAACATCTCACTTAACAGAAACTTTGGATTCAGTTGGGGTCGTAAGTCGTGGAGTACCTGTATACAGAGGTGAGCTTAAAAATTTTTAGCAAGGGGTTCTCTGCCCGGTTACTGGATGGGCTTGGCCATGGTGGGCGCGGCTTAGTTGGCCTCCTGCACCACGGCAGGGGGTGGTCCCTCCCCGGCCTCTGGAGGCTTTGCTCAAGCCTCTAGGAGGGCAAAAACAGCCTCCCCAAGCTTCGGAGGCCCTCTGGAGGCCAGAAATGGACCCATTTCCTGAACTCCCGATAGGCCCATTTTTCACCCTCCTTGAGCCTCCACAAGCACCCTGCACTTACCTGCATCCAAAATGGGCCGCGTGGGGACTCCTGGGAGGGGCGGGGCGGGGTGGCAGGGTCAGCCAAAAGTGGGATTTGGGGGTTCTCCAAACTGCACAGAATCTTAGCTAGAGGTTCTCTTGAACCCGTGAGAACCCCCAGCAGCCCACTCCTGCCTGTATACAGAATAATAGAGTTGGGAGGGACTGAGTCTTCATTTTGACTTTTCGGTTTTTATATTGTTAAATAATCAAGGTCAGAATCCAGTTCTCCTCTACACTGCTGTATTTAGCCAGGAACCACCCACTGATCCTTGCACTGAGCAGCTTCATAATGCTAACTTTGATGTAAAATCACAGGGGGATGTAAACTGGACTACCGGACGTCCAGTTTCTGGAAAAAATATATCTAACCCGACATAAAAATGAGTGGGTTTCGATGCTACCCACCAATGCTAATAATCTTTATTAAAGCCATAGTTTTTGTAAGAAGCTGAATAGGAACTGCACCTTGCATGGCATCTGCCAAGGTTCTCTGTTTAAATGGGGCAGAGATTCCCCCCTCCCCTCCCTCCCCTTGTGATGCTCCTCATCTAGACCACATTAGTTGCTGCTATTTATACAGGAGGAAAACTTCTAGACTTTCTCTAACTAACAGATATTGTGCTTAATTGGATAATTATATTAATTATCCAATATTAATATATAGAACACTTATCTATTCTTAGGAATCAATGTATTTTAAAATGTAACTTATATCCTATATAATTTCTTGAATTCCTCAAACCGTACAAAATTGACTACATCTTTCCATCATACGTGTATCATAGTATGTGTCAGGGCTCCGACAAATGCCCTAATTAACTCATAAGCCTCAAGCCAAGTTTCAAAAGAAATCCATTTATTTATTAGGAGCAACATGTCGACAGCTTCCAAAGTGTAGTCAACCTTGCCGCACGTAATTTACGGCTCAACTATGACCCTGTTTCCCCCCCCACACACACACACCTCTCAGGCTTTATCATAAATCACCTTCTCCAAAGAGGCACTTTCGCGGGCTGTAGAAACCACACCTCACAAACTGGCTTTGGTAATCTGAGATCCAACCTTGGAGGAAGGTGTGCGTGGAAGGTGACTGCTGAATTGCTCCATCAGTTCTCCCACCTTTCTGCCCATGGCAACTTGAGAGCAGACTAGAAATGCTTTGCAAGTTGACAGTATGATGTGTTCCTTCTACATAATTTTATTATTGATATCCATGTGTTCTATGCCATAGACTAAAAAAGAAAGTAATTAGCCAGAGATCCAGAGGGGGAAAAAAACCTGTCTAGCTTATGTGTAGGATGAGTTAGCAGCTTAGGATATGTCTGTGGCTGGTTATAGTAGTAGCAATGTTCTTGGCAAGGAGTCCAATGTTTCATGAGGTGGATGTTGGTATCCTTGTCGCTGCAAACTAGCGAAGCTGGAAACAAGAAGTCCTTGGTACTGTCTAAACTCGGTTGTTTTCTGGGAGATGTTTCATACCCAGACTAGATAATGTCATCAGTGCCATTGGGTAGTTGGGTAATGAAACGTCTGCAAGAAAACAACCAAGCTCAGAGACCACCAAGGATCCCTCATTTCAACCTTTAGCTACAAATATTCTTCTTCATTGGAATAGCAATAGCATTTAAACTTACATGCCACTTCACAGTGCTTTACAGCCCTCTCTAAGTGGTTTCCAGAGTCAGCCTATTTCCCCCAACAATCTGGGTTCTCATTTTACCATCCTCGGAAGCATGGAAGTCAACCTTGAGCCGGTGAGAATCGAACTGCAGTCAGTCAGCAGAATTAGCCTGTAATACTACAGTCTAACCACTGCGCCACCACGGTTGTTTCCTGGAAGCTGGAAACAGCAGCCCAAGAAGGCAGCCTCGAGTAGACCACCAAAGGTTTCCACCCAACCCATTTGCGAATTAGAAGGTTGCACGGAATTTTTTTTTTTTTTGTAACCCTCCGGCGACATCAACCTCCACTGTGTGCTTTGCTGAATCAGATGTCTTTCTTTATATCCTAGAACCAAGATCAACACCTGCATCATTTTTGCAGATTACTGGGAGTGGAGCACAGCCAGATGGAACACTGGCTTTGCCATCGGAAGCTGGTCACCACTTCGGAAACCTACACCAAAAATATGTCCCTCCAACAAGCCGTCAACGCCAGGAATGCGCTAGCCAAGCACATCTACGCTCAGCTGTTCAACTGGATTGTGCAGCATATCAACAAGGCCTTGTACACGACGGTCAAGCAGCATTCCTTTATTGGTGTGCTGGACATTTATGGGTGAGCAACAAAGCTTTTTCGGAATCCTGTTCCTCTACCCTTTTGCTTGCGTTTGCTAGGATCAACGCTGGCATTCCCGGGTATTTCCTGCGTCTTCTCTAAGTAGTGGAGTTTAATAAGTTTTGCGGTGTGGCTCTTTCTTCTTACTTGCCGGAGCGTAAGAACCAACACTTGGAAATCGTAGAGCAAGTTGTAGGGAGGAGTCTCGCATGCTGGCATCAAAGTCAATTTGTTGGTGTGTTGCTTTTCTTTTTCAAATTCTGTAAAGCACAGCTGGAGCAGCTGACTCCTGAGATGCTTTAAGTGTCTCTCTGCGTGTAACAAAGTTGTACTGTGATCTTAGGGACCGCTTTACCTCTCTCTTGCGTGCAGGGAAAAGGGTCTGCCATGTCTCCAGTGTTAGAAGTATGTGAGTGCGCTAATTCTTGCAGACATTGAAAATCAATATGGTAGGAGCAGATGTGACTATTGCAGAACGATGGCTGGAAATCACACCACTTTATAAGAAGAGGATGGGATAGCTTGCCTTTTGTTTGCCGAGATCCGGATTTAAGGGCGCACAGTGTGATTCAGATGAGTGACCTTGGGAAGTGTTAAGTCAGGATCTCTGGATGTTTCGGTATTAGATTTCATACAGTAGCGGGAAGCAATTGAATTCCTACTTTATTTGACAGTAGATAGGAATCCGATCCATTAAAGCAAAGCCCAAATCAAAGTCGTAGTTGAAAAGAATGCAAGGCGAAGGTATTAAACTCTATCTCGAGAAAGACATTGTGTTAATCGACGTCAAAACAGGAGATTGGATTTCCATTACAGCAACATGCCTAAAAACCATAAAATGTAATGGTATTATCTTAAACTTCCGTTTTCCTTGATTGGTTTCAGTTAAGCTGTTACACTTGACAACAGGGGAGGACTTATTCTGATAAAATTGAAAAAGATGGAGGAAGTTTTAAGTGAACGTGTCTGAATTAAACACGAATTTGGACTTACATGTGAATCTTCTTAAAATGACAGTGCAAAGCTATTTTAAGCCCTTTATGTATAGGGCCTAATGAAAGCAGTCTGGTACTTACGCTTTCATCGTCTGATAATCTTTCATAGTTGAATAGAAAGAATCTAGTTTTTTTCCCCTTTTTCATTCTTCAACATTTGTTTTGTATGCAGAGGTATTATTTCTCTATAGATCTTGCTCAGGATTTTGTCAGACCAAAAATAATAAACTATTCAAACTTGTCTCATAAGATATTTTAATAGTGTTGTACAGCTGCCTTCAAATTCTCTCTCCCTCTCCCTCCCTCTCTCCCTTCCTCCCTCCCTCTGTCTCTCCCTCTGTCTCCCTCCTGCCCGCTCCCTCCCTCCCTCCCCCTCTCCCTCTCTCCCTCTATTCCTCTCTGTCTCTCCTTCTCTCTCTCTCCCTCCCTCTCTCTCCCTCTTTCTCTCCCTCTCTCTCTCCCCCTTCTCCCACCCTCCCTCAATCTTGCAAATAGTTCATTTTAGACTTGGATTTCATATGGTAAAAATGTTAGAAGGTTGAGAAGCACTTAAACATTTTCCCTAATTCCTTGTTACCGTTCTTGTGTCATTGTGAGAAATTTAAAATTATGGTTCTTATGGCCCAGAGACTAGGTGTTCTACCCATTGAAATTTGGAAATAGGTCGATATGAAATTTTGTAAAATTACCATTAATGTTATGTAATGTTCAGTATGTTATGTCTTGACATGTTTTGTTTTTATATATGTGTGGTTGTTTTTTGTGTTGTTTTTAAAGACCAACTGTTTAATAAAAATGATTTTAAAAAAAAAGAAATTTGGAAATAGGATAGGTCTCTAGGACAGCAGTTTGGTGGTCTACTTTGTAGATCGGCACTGGCGGGCGGGGAGACAGGAGATGGTTCCATACAAGTGGTGGGCGAGCACGGGCGCAGTTCCATTTGCGCGAGTGGCGGGCACGCATACTGCTTGAACAAATGGAGCTGCGTACAGGCACACAGTCGCCCGCTGCTTGCCCAGCCCAATTCTGAATGGGCCACAGCCCGGTACTGGGCTGTGGCCCCCGGGGGGTGGGGGTGGGGGCCCCTGCTCTAGGAGACAGTGAGTGATGGAACTGATGGTGCTGTTAGCCTAAACATTTCTTCCCCAATATAAACTTCTCCAAATATATTGGAATTACAGCTCGAGAATTGCATCCGGTGATAGCTATCCATGCGTCTGTAGGAATCTGGATTGAGAAAATTAACTTAAGCTCTCGCTGATATTTCTAAACTGGAAGTAATTTTTATTTATTGACCTCATTTTAATAACTCTCTCAAATCAGATTCCCAATGTGGTTTATAAAAATAGTACAATAATTAATCTGTAAATATTAATGATTTTTTCCCCCAGAAACTATTCTTTGAATCATTTCCCTAAGAATATTCTTTTTGTTTTGCAGGTTTGAGACCTTTGAATATAATAGCTTTGAACAATTCTGCATCAATTACGCCAATGAAAAATTACAGCAGCAGTTCAATTTGGTAATTTGGATTGTCAAATTTGTTTTAGTATCTTTGGGGGTGGGGCCAAATAATACAAAGATATCCACAATATTCTGTGCTTTGATTAAAATGTTTTAAGAATGTGGTAAATGAACAAGATATAGGAATAACTAACATGTTAATGAAGCTTGTCTTCTAAAAGGGATTAACCCACTCTATTTACATTACATAGTACTGCTATTAAAAAACAAATAAATTTTTGATGAGCTCTGTTTACCAGATGGAAATTATGTGAGTTCCCCCTGTGAAAATGTGTTGATTTGCAAATAGGACCCATATTGTCTCAGCTGAAATCCTTTTAAATAATATTTCAGATTAGGAACCCCACTATATTTGCGTTATATAACGATATAATAATTTTATGAGCGATCTAGATATTTTCTTTCAACATAACCATTGAGAGTTCCTCAGCTTTTATAATAAATAAGCAAACAGTAGTGGAAGACCCAGAAAAAGGAAATTAAATTTCCTTCAATTGAAGAACAGCAGATTTTTAAAAGTTGCGCTCCAATACCTTGTTGTTGTTAGTTGCGAAGTCGTGTCCGACCCATTGCAACCCCATGGACAACGCTCCTCCAGGCCTTCCTGTCCTCTACCATCCTCTGGAGTCCATTTAAGCTCACGCCGACTGCTTCAGTGACTCCATCCAGCCATCTCGTTCTCTGCCGTCCCTTTCTTCTTTTGCCCTCAATTGTTCCCAGAATTAGGCTCTTCTCCAGGGAGTCCTTCCTTCTCTTTTTTTTATTTTTATTTTTTATTTTTTTTATAAACAAACTTTATTCGTATTTAAAAAAAACATTTAAAACAATTATAAGAAAAACTGACAAGTTTCTCTTAATCAAACACACAAATTACACATATACATATACAGTACATATATAATGCTCAACTTCATCTATTAACTACTTTCTAAGGTTATATATACATATATACATACGCACAGTGACTTATTTCCTTCCTTCTCATTAGGTGGCCAAAATATTTGAGTTTCCTCTTCAGGATCTGGCCTTCTAAAGAGCAGTCAGGGTTGATCTCCTCTAGGACTGACCGGTTTGATGGCCTTGCAGTCCAAGGGACTTGCAGGAGTCTTCTCCAGACATACCTAGTCTAATACCTTGGCTAATTACCATATCTAATACCTAGTCACTCACAATCCTCAGCACCAGAGGTGGCATTCAGCCGATTAGGATTGGTTCGCCCAAACCGATAGCGGAAATTGTGGGTGGGCGTCGCAAGTGGGCCCCCACCCCACCCCGGCTCTATGCCATTCTATTTAGGCACGTTTTTTAGCCGCGTGCATGCATGCAAGCCATAAGCACAAGCAAAGAGCATGCATGGAAGGCCATGCACATGCGTGAACATGAGCTCGCACGCTCACATTTGCTAACTGGTAGGGAAGCTAAGTGAATACCATTCCTTCTTAGCACTATATTCCCCGTTACTTAGAGACTGTGTTCTGCAGATCTTCATGGTTTTTAGCTGTTTCCATTCTACAAAAGTTCTAGAAGTTTTATCTCCCCTGTGGCTTTTTCGATAATTTCCAATGTTATTTTTTTAAAAAAACAAACTCGAATAATTTTTCTGCTTTATTTTGCTCCTTTTGCTTTCTATTGACTTTGCCCACAGTAATCCCTAAAAGCAATTTTTCGTAGCAACACATATTGCACTGGATTGACAAGAGAGGAGGGTGAAATATTTATTTTAAGATATTCATCAACCCTTGCGAAAATTCTGTTTGCTGCTGCTTGTTTTCTTAATAGCCTAATACATTATGTCTTCAGACCCTTACGAGTGATTCATGTTGCAGCCATTCAGCTATTACTCGTGCGTGATTTCAAGTTGTTAATATTCCTATCCTTATATATAATTTTTATGCATGGTTTTGAGTTTTGTTTTACTGTAATCTTTTTCGCGTTTACTGCAATAGAATATATGATCCCTGATTTCTAAAATCGAGCATGACTCCATATCAAGGGTCAACCCAGATCTCTGTTGCTGTTGTCACTGTGCAACCAACCATAATCACAGCAAGATTTAAGGTGAAATCTGCTGTTTTGGATATGGTTTCTTGTACTTCCTCAGTTTTTGTGGAAACTCCCTAAAATCAAGAAACTTTATTGCATACAGGTAACCCTCAACTTACGACCATAATTCAACCCAAACTTTCTGTTGTTAAGTGAGACATTTGTTGTGAGTTTTGCCCCGTTTTACGACATTTTTTTGCCTTGGTTGTTAAGTGAATTGCTGCAATCATAAATCATAAATATGAACCAGTTGCCAAGCATCTGGATTTTGATCACATGTTCATTGGAATGCTGCAAAGGTCGTAACTGTGAAAACGGTCATAAGTCCCTTTTTTCAGTGCCGTCGTAACTTTGGACGGTCACTAAATGAACTGTTGTAAATTGAGGACTACCTGTAGTTAAGTTTTAAAACCTTTTTTCAGGTTTTTGTTTTAAAGTGCAGGATACCTATAGCTATGTAATTATCACATGCTTCTAAAAGGATTAGTGTTCAACCAAAAATGTTCTTGCAGCTTTAGAGAATAATAGATTTGATATTCTGAGACACATAAATGGCTCAGAATTATTTCATTTTGTTTCCTTGAATTCCTTTTTTCTGCCTTTTTGTTGCATGTATTATAAATAGCCTGTAATGTGCAAAAGATTATAAATGCCCAAAGAAAGTTAAGTTTTTTTCCGGAAAAGATTAAATCTGCAGCATAAACAACGAGCTATATCCAATATGTTCGAAGCTTTTAAACAGCCAATTAGGCTCCAGTGATTATAGATAGTCCTCAACATACGACCACAGTTGAGCCCAAAATTTCTGTTGCTAAGCAAGGCAGCTGTTGGGTTTTGCCCCATTTCCTGACCTTTCTTGCTCGGTTGTTAAGTGAATTAATGCAGTTGTTAAATTAGAGTTGTTAAGTGAATCCGGCTTTCCCATTGACTTGGCTTGTCTGAAAGTCGCAAAAGGTGACCACATGACCCCAGGACACTGCAACCGTCATAAATAGAGGCCAATTGCCATGTATTTGAGTTTTGAACACGTGAGCACAGCGAAGTGCAAAAAATGGTCACGAGTCCCTTTTTTCAGTGCCGTTATAATTTTGAACAGTCACGAAACGAATGGTTGTAAATCAAGGATCTAGGGTTTATTGAAGTAGCCTTTCCAGATAACAGCTTAATGTTTGCTATCTTTCTCTGCCACAGCATGTCTTTAAATTGGAACAAGATGAATACATGAAAGAGCAAATTCCCTGGACCCTCATCGATTTTTATGACAATCAGCCATGCATAGACCTTATAGAAGCTAAGCTGGGTATCTTGGATTTGCTGGATGAAGAATGTAAGGTAAAAAAAAATCCCCCAATGTGCTTGCAATAAGGTGATATCTTCAGGAACTATTGTGCGAACATCCCATGAGCTTTTTGATGAAAACAAGTCAGTAATTGGGGGAACAGGTAGACTATTTCGAAAGAATTTGGGTCAGTTGATGGAATCCAGGTTTTGCTAATTTCAAGTAAACCCATTGATATCAGTTAGAACCGTGACGGCGAACCTATGGCACGCGAGCCCGAAGTGGCACACGGAGCAATTTCGCCTGGCACACGCAGCGTCACCCGTTCCTCTTCCGGGTTTCTGGCGCGCATGTGCGCACGATGATCAGCTGGCATTTTTGCATGCGGAAATGCCGGAAACTGGAAGAGCTGGTCTTCCATTTTCCTGCGTGAACATGCGGGCCGGCCAGCTGATTGTCATGTGCACATGTGCACCAGAAACCCAGAAGACTAGCTGGCTGGGGCATATGTGCACACCAGTGGTGGGTTGCTACCGCTTCTTCCCGGTTCTTGCGAAGAAGAGAAGGAGAACCAGTAAATACCACTTCTGCCTGGCCCCGCCCCCAATCTATTCGCTGCCTCCCGAGTCCCAGCTGATCGGCTGAAGGAAAAAATCAGGGCTCACTTGACAAAGAAGAGAGAGAGAGAAAAAAAAAACAAGACACCTTAGCTTTAAATTGAAAAGCCAAGAAGTCTCCCAACTGATCGGCTGGAACTGATCCGCTCCTTTTAAACCGCTCGGTGGTGGTAGATTGGCAATTGAGGCCAAGCTGCCTGAAAGTGGTTTCTGATGCTCTCGGTGGTGTCAGAGCGGCAAAAAACTGTTTAAACTCTTGCCGCAGCGCTTCAAAGGGCCGCCCTACAGCTGATCAGCGGTAAAAGGCAGTGTGGTGGTACACCAGTGCGCTCCAAAAACAAATAAGTAGACCGGAACGCTCCTAGAACAAATGGATAGACTGGTGCCTCCAAACACAGATCAGTAGACCAGTGCCTCCAAAAACAAATGGGTAGACTGGTACAGTTCTGCAAGCAGTTAAAAGCCTGGTAGACCAGTACCTCTGCTAAATCCTAAAGAATTGTTTGTCACATGACCATTAAACCACACCCACAAAATAAGCCACGCCCACAGAACCGGTAGTAAAATAATTTAGAACCTACCCCTGTGCACCCCAGAAACTGGAAGTTCATTTTTGGGCACGCGCATGTGCCATTGGCAGCTCCTCTTCTGGGTTGCGGCCGAGATGAGAGAGTGCACTCCCTTTTTGGCACTCGGTGTAGGAGCCCATCACTTGTAGGAGCCCGTCAAATATTGGAACACTGCTATCATGCCTCCCACCGGTTCTTTTCCGGATGCCAGAGTGTTTTTATTGAATGTTAGTTCTACAGTATCTCCTTCATGGAAATTTATGAAGGTCCATGAACCGTTTGTTCTCTCAGTTTTTCCCCACCTGGAGAAAAATCTGTGAAGGAAAAAAAAAAAAGAATGGTTGAACAATGTCTTTTGATCACAAGCTCTCTGCAGCCTCCACTGGAAACATCTCTCATTTCAGTGAAGTCAGAATAAAATAAGTTGGCAGGCAGTGTAACAAATTCTGCAAAAAAAGGTTTTACTGATGCATTATTCCAATTTATTGAGAGGTGTTTGGAAGCAGGAGTCTCGTGTCCTCATGATACAGTAAAATTATCTAAAATATCATTTTAATTTATTTGATGCAGAATACTAAATAAATAAAAAAGGGACTTTGATTATTACCTTGAAGATAGTGATCTTAAAAACTAAGATATTACATTAAGTTGACTGTGAAATATATTTTTGCTATACCTCTTTATTTCAGCTTTGGGTTGTTTGCACTTTTAAACCAGGAAAAGTTATGGTCGTTCACGGTGAAAGCTGGTCCTGCTTAGTTGAGTGAGAGAAAAGATTCAGCCTGAATAAATCAATTAATTTATCCATAAATGTTCGTTTACTGTTTTCTTATATAAAAGTAATATGGAAGTGTTAAGGAAAAGAACGGTTATGAAAAGTAAATAAGTACATAACAGCTAAGAGCGTTTTGTTTATTTTTAAACCATTAATAATCTGGACAATAAAAATCTGCACCTCATTATATAGTAAGAGTGGTGTGGTGGCCTAGAGGTGGAGCTCTTGCCTCACAATCAGGAGGCAGTGAGTTCGATCCTAGGTAGAGGCAGATATTTCTTTCTCTCTCGGCACATTATTATATCTGCTGAATATAATTCCGCATTGGCAACAGGAAAGGCATCCGGCCAGTAAAACTCAGCTCCATTCAGTTGCCCAGACTCCACTCCGCAAGGGATTATGGGATCATTGAAAGATGATGATGATGATCATGTAGTAACAGAAGTTCCGGTCCCAATTGTGATTGTAGGTTGAGGACTATTGTATGCATGTAATTTTGCTCTTGGTTAAATGTCACATAAGCTAATATTTTCCCAATAAGTAAACATAGAAGCGCTCCAGATAGAAGAAGCTGCTTCAGGTAGTTGCATTGTTGTATAGTGAAATGCTAGCTGTCATTGAGTACAATACATTCAGAATGAGGTTTTTAAGTGTATGTCCCATGCATTTCTGAATAATTGTCTTTTAAAACAGGTCCCTAAAGGGACAGACGAGAACTGGGCTCAGAAACTCTATGATCGCCATGGGAACAGTCAACATTTCCAGAAGCCTCGCATGTCAAACATGGCATTCATTATTGTGCACTTTGCAGATAAGGTAATGAGAACAGAGATACTTGAGAGGGATTGATGCAGGACCAACCTTAACTAACTTAACATCTCTCTTTTCTTTGGGTTGGTTGCCTGTACTGGCTGTTATTTATTCACTTTCCTTTCACCTTTGAAATCTAAAGGCAAGAGAAAGTTCAGGGTATTTACAAATGAACTGAAAACTGGAATTTAGAGTGAGATTGAAAAAGAGTTTTAGATTCCCCCCTTTTTTGCATTTAATTGCATACTAGCGAGAATCATAGTGATACAGTGTTGGATTTGAAAGGAAAAAACGGGTACATATGCCCTTTTCGTTATTCTAGCACATTCATGTTGCTAATAGCAGCCATTAAACATACGGTTCAGCTCCGTTTCTCAGAACTAGGCTATAATTCACACCAGTCAGGAGGAAAAAAATTGATATCCAGCTAAGAAGGCTTGGTCTGAATTCCCCACTCAAATCTGAAGCTGCCTTAGTACTTTTAAGCAGCCACAGTTTCTCACCTCTCTTGACTCTGTTGTGAGTCTTGAAGATTGTAGCCAGAGGTGATATTCAGCCGGTTCGGGCAAACCAGAAGCAGAGACTGTGGGTGGCTCGCCCACCCATTCAGTCTTAATGCCGTCCTATTTAGCCACGTTTTCGAGGCCAGGCGCATGCACGGAAGGCGCATAGGCAGGGCGAACCGATAGTAAGAATATGTGAAACTCACTGCTGATTGTAGCTACTAGTTTGCTAAGAGTTTGTAGTGAGGTTAGATGGCAGGAACTGTATGTGGTCTCTCTTACAATGGAAGTCAAATCATCTTCAATCATAGCATCAACCATTTGGTGGAGAAGGCCAGAATTTTTTTTTACCCTGTGAAAAAAAGTGATTCTACCCATCCTACAGGCATATTAACATTGTTCAGGTTAAAAGCCAGTCTTTTATTAATAAGCACCTAATTTTGATAAATGCTGGACACAATGAATATGCTAAACTAGTCTTTTGTGCATACACACAATTCAGTTTGAATTGAACGTAGAAATCGAGATCCAGGTACTTTAGCTGTAACATATTCTGGTTTTAGGCTGCCCCATTTTTAAAAAAGAGCATTTCGAAAAGAAAAATATAGGGACATATTGTCCATATTTAAGAATATCTTAATTTGTTTGATAAGATTTGTACTCACAATTTTAATTTTTCTTTTTCTTTTCCTACCCAAACACTGGTTCTGTAATCTTTTCTAGGTGGAATATTATTGTGAGGGCTTTTTGGAAAAAAACCGAGATACAGTCCACGAAGAACAGATCAATATTCTGAAGGCCAGCAAGGTAAAGTTACCTATGGGAAAAATAGATTGGATTGTCGTATTCTGGCATTATATGTTATTTATGGCTGAAGTTCCTTATCCTTTCATTTTTGATGGCTCAGTTCAGGTTAATTTGAGCAGAAGAACATCTTGGTTGATGTGAGATCCAAGCTACTGGTCAATATTAAGATCTAGTTTGTAGCAAGTTTACCCATTGCTAGAAGTGGGATCACAGGCCAAAAAACAAGGTGTGTCTCAGGAAAACCACTGGAAGTTACTTAATCTTCTGGATCTCCATAAAATCTTGAGGGGACACATTTGCACAGGGTTAGTTTCTTCCTTGTTGAGACCTTGTCAATTTTCTATGCAGGATGTTTTCTGTCTGAGTCAATGTATGAGACCGATTCACCGATCTAACTCTCTTATGATATATACAAGTATTATGATATATACTAGTATATACCAGGGTGAAATGTAAAATTCGTTACTACCGGTTCTGTGGGCGTGGCTTGGTGGGGGGGTAATGTGACTGGGTGGGCGTGGCCAATCTTTTTTTTTTTAACTTTTCAAAGCATTTTTTCTAATGCTTTGAAAAGCCTCTGCCGATCAGGCAACTCAGCTGGGATCATCAGAGACTTTTCAAAGCATTTTTTTACCACCTCTTTGGCCAAGAGGTTGCAGAAAAAAATGCTTTGAAAAGCCTCTGACCATCCCAGCTGAGCCGCGCGATCATCAGAGGCTTTTTTTTTACTTTTAAAAGCATTTTTTCGTCGGAAGAGGTTGTAGAAAAAATGCTTTTAAAAGTAAAAAAGAAAACGCCTCTGATGATCGTGCAGCTCAGCTGGGCATGGTGGGGGGGGTGCACAGGGATTTTTGCTACCAGTTCTCCGAGCCACCTGCCACCATCGCTACCGGATCAGGTGATCCGGTCCGAACCGGGAGCATTTCACCCCTGGTATATACACAACATTCATATATGCTACTTACAGAATTGCAGAACCTAGCAATTCCTTATGCATTAAGACTGAATGCCAAAATGAGCCACAGGCTACTTCCCTGCTGAAAATAGATTTTCTTTCTTTTTTAAAAAAAGTTTTTTATTTTTTAAACAAACAAACATTTAATACATCAATTTTCTCTTCCCTGTGACATCTCCGTATTATCTTCCAAAGTTCTTTCTTCTGTATAGTTGTCATTATTTCCTTCTTGATCCTTATCCAGTCCACAATATCAATTCATCACTAACATAATATTCTACTCATCACATATTTTTACATACTTATATAATTAATCATTTATACCTCTTCTCCAACCAATAATAAAAATCATTCCATATTTTAAAATATTCTAAGTCTTCTCTTATCTTTAATCATCAGAGTTAATCTATTCATTTCTGCACAATCTAAGATTTTTTTAATTACTTCTCCTTCCAAAGGTATTTTCTCCGCTTTCCAATTTTATGCATAAACAATCTTTGCAGCTGTTATTACCTGGACTATCAAATAAACATTTTCCTTGCTAATTTTTCCTGGAAGGATACCCAATAGGAACAGCTCTGGTTTAAATTCAATACGTTGACCTATCATTGAAAATAGATTTTCTTAAAAGGGTAGCCCAATTTATTTTTATTGGATGTTCTCTGGAGCAGTGTGTTGCTTCTCTCTTTTTTGACTTTTTTTTTTTTTTTTTAATGTCCTGAGGTTTGCTTTTACCAGGAGACATCTGATAAAAATTCCTGTAAGAAGGATGGGAAAATGAGTGTCTGATTGGGAGGAGTTGGCTGCGTTCATAAGCAGCTTCTTTCAAAGGGTTTAGTGGGCAGACCAGACTGCCTGGAGGAGATAACACCATTTCAATGGCAGGGTAATCTTAGGCCATTGTTAAAGGGTCAAGTGCACCAGGAAAGGAGAGCAAAGAGAAAGAACGGGCTATAAAAAGAGGCAAACAAAGAACGCAAACGGGGCGTTTGGTATTTTGAGCAAGGTGGCCTTTGGGTTACACAAAAGTATTTTGCAGACTGACTTGAGTGTGGGGGAGGCTTCTCTCCTGGCTGGATTTTTTAAAAAAAAAATTATTGTGGACGATAAGGACCTGCTTAATCCTAAAGGCCATCAAAGGAAGTGGTAGCTTGAGTGTGAGAAAGCGAAATGGGTTGGAAACGGTTCATACTTGGATGGGATTATAAAATGAAAGTTAGAATATTCATGGAACCCAGGGGCCATTTTGTGATGCAAGAAGTACGGACGAGGCCACCGGAGGAATTCTCTTCTCCTCAGAAATAAATTTTTCAGAGCCACTTGCTATTCTGCCCGGGAACTGGTGCTAAAAGTGTTGAACGATTTCTCTGCCCTGGCGCTACTTAAGATTATGAACGCTGATTAGTCACAAGAGATATATTTTAGCCATGTGCTGGATTGTAAAATCGGGCTTTGAGTGTTGTCTGCCGTAACTTATTTGTGGGTTTCTTTTTCTTTTTTAAAAAGTTTTTTATTAATAGTTCAAAATTAAAAACATTGGACATAGATATGACATCACTGGTCCCAAGCATCTTCCAACACTTTAAACTAATATATAATATACTAATGATAATATAATAATATATTCCTTACACCTTATACGTTATTTAAACATAGTATAATAATAATAATATATGGCTTATTCCTATACAATTATACATATCGATGCCTACATATACCAATCTATATAATTCACATACATATTTATCTATAATAACGTATATAATTCTAGTCTAACACTACACATTTGTCTCGGCTATCCTCCTTTTATCTAACCATTCATAGAATTTTGCCCAGATTTTATAATACAATGCTTTGCTTTTATCCTTGAGTTCCAAGGTGAGTCTATCCATTTTTGCACAGTTGAAAATTTTTAGTAGCATTTCCTCTTCAGTTTCTTTGACTTGTTCCTCAATTATGTCTTGTTCCAATAAATAGCAATATAATTTACTTATGGTCTTTCCATAAGACCATTTGTGGGTTTCTTGAAAGTGTTTGACTTAGAGCTCCTGGGATGTTGAGTTAGATGGAAACTTTTGGGGTGATCTAAATAAATGATCTGAGAACTGAGCCCTCAAACTGTTGGACCGCTTAACCCTCATTTTCATCAGCATCTTGTATTTTGGGCAAGACTTCTACTGTTTCTCAGTGGAGCTGAGAAAGAGATTCTCAGTCATCCAGGTCATGGCTGTCCCAAAGGTGCTTTTTCAGGAGGCAACCTGACTTTCTTGTTTTTTCTTTTGAAGACATTTCGCTTCTCCATCCAAGAAGCTTCTTCAGCTCTGTCAGGATTCCATCCTTCCATTCCCCACTATCCTGTCAGAGCTGAAGAAGCTTCTTGGATGAGAAGTGAAATGTCTTCAAAAGAAAAAACAGGAAAGTCCAGTCGCCTCCTGAAAAAGCACCTTGGCACTTCCACTGTTTGCTATATGCATCATTCCAGTAATACAGGTAGTCCTCAAATTACAATCACTTGTTTAGTGACTGTTCGAAGTTACAGTGGTGCTGAAAAAAGTGACTTACAATCAGTCCTTGCACTTTTGACTGAGGGAGTGTCCCAGGGTCATGTTATTCCCAGTTGGTACCTTCACAGGGGACTTCCGACGAGTAAAGTTAGTGGTGGAAGCCATTCATTTAATGACCATGGTAATTCACTTAACCACCATAGTGACCACAGCAAAAAGGCCCTAAAAGTAGGCACAACTGGTTTAATGACCACATTGTTTAACAACGTAATTTATGCTCCCAACTGTGGTCGTAAGTGAAAGATTACCTATAAATCGGTTACTATGAACCTCTCCTGTGTACCCCTATATATGAAAAGGCGGATTCTGGAAAAAAAAATACATGGAATCTTTAACTTCTTAATCCATAAATTATAGGGATAGTGGATAGAGGATTTCTCTCAGGAATGAAGTGACAATTTTCCTGAAGGTGCTAAAACAACGAAAGCTTGCTGGAGGCAGGAGATAGACAAAGGGGTTTTCTTGGCAGCCGATATTAAAATAAAACTTGCAAGCACGAAGCAGATAGACAATTGTGTGTAAAGTCAGAAAACCACTCTGTGCAAACAGATTGTTTCCTCAAGAGGATTGATTGAGCCAATCAATCTCGGGAAGCACCAGATGACAAATTGTGGTCTTGTCTTAATGAAAACAGTTGTAGGAATGTGCTGCTTCTAGTTATTCTAGCAAACATTTTGGACTGATTTTCTTAAATGGGGAGGATATATGAGGGATTGAAGCCCTCTGTTCTGTCCCCGTCCCACACACGCACCCCCACAGACGGCCCAGAGTTAATAAGCCACACAACAAAATCTTTGAAGATAAAGCTGGCAGCAACCCAGTAGCTAGCTGCCAATTCAGACTTTACTCACACAAAACAAAGATTAGACTGCAAGCATTCCGATAAAGCAGGCAAAGTTTCAGCAATACAAGGATTAGTCCAAATGCAGTCCGACAAGGCAGGCAGAAGTCCAGTAACGCAGAGATCATGGATTATTTCTAGTTTTTGCTCGTCACAAACTGAACCGGCCACCACACCCACATTTATACCCTGACTCAGCTAATCTCTGGCACGCCTTCCACTCTGCTGCGCAAGCTTCTCCCTGCGCCTCTGCCGAGGATCAAGCCAGCACTTATCTCCTTCGTCGCTGTCCACCTGTGGCTGCGGGGACGTGCTTGGCTCTGGGTCTATCTCTTGGCCTTCGGTGTCCTCCGGAGGCATTGCCAGAGAGGAGGGTCCTGGAGAGGGAAGCCTTGCCAACTCCTCTCCCTCACTCTCAGAGTCTGCATCTGTCGATAGCCCAGGCTCAGGCAACGGAGCCACGACACCCTCTTTGGTTGCATTTGAACATTTTTGAAAGCAGAAATATGACCCGAACGTACATTAGTGAAGCAAGTTATGTAGGGTTTTTTTTTTTTTAAAAGGGAACTATTACAGGAATAGGCAAAGCCTAGTATGAAAGCTACTATATCCTGCCAGGAGGAGAATCCAACAATATGTGCTCTGTGCATATGTGTGGGGAAGAAAATCAGAAGGAAGCAACCTCAGATTAGGGGAAAGAGCAGAGAGATTCAGTAACAAAGAAGGAACTCGGTAAATTCTCAACACTGCACCAAGGGTATTCAATTTTTAATACCTGTGGACTTCAACTCTCAAAATTCCCTAACCAGCCATGCTGGCTGTAGAATTCTGGGAGCTGAAGTCCACAAGATCTTAAATAGAATAGAATAGAATAGAATAGAATAGAATAGAATAGAATAGAATAGAATAGAATAGAATAGAATTCTTTATTGGCCAAGTGTGAGTAGACACACACAGAATTTGTCTTGATGCATACGCTCTCGGAGTACATAAAAGAAAAGATACATTCGTCAAGAATCATAAGGTACAACACTTAATGATAGTCATAGGGAAACGGTCAATATAAATCTTAAGGATAAGCAACAAAGTTACAGTTATACAGTCATAAGTGGGAGGAGGTGGGTGGTGGGAACAATGAGAAGATTAATAGTAGTGCAGACTTAGTAACTAGTTTGACAGTGTTGAGGGAATTATTTGTTTAGCAGAGTGATGGCATTCGGGAAAAAACTGTTCTTGTGTCTAGTTGTTCTGGTGTGCAGTGCTCTATAGCGCCGTTTTGAGCGTAGGAGTTGAAACAGTTTATGTCCAGGATGCGAGGGGTCGGTAAATATTTTCACAGCCCTCTTTTTTACTCGTGCAGTATACAGGTCCTCAATGGAAGGCAGGTTGGTAGCCATTGTTTTTTCTGCAGTTCTAATTATCCATTGAAGTCTGTGTCTGTCTTGTTAGGTTGCAGAGCCAAACCAGACAGTTATAGAGGTGCAGATGACAGACTCAATAATTCCTCTGTAGAACTGGATCAGCAGCTCTTTGGGCAGTGTGAGCTTTCTGAGTTGGCGTAGAAAGAACATTCTTTATTGTGCTTTTTTGATGACGTTTTTGATGTTGGGTGTCCATTTTAGGTCGTGAGATATGGTAGAACCTAGTTTCCAAACTTGGAAGGCTGCATTCAGTCACCACAATACAAAAAAGATGCTGAAACCATAGAAAGTGTTTCTGACAGTGAGAACGATTCATCAGATGAAATAGCTTGCCTCCTGGAGTAGTGAGTCCTCCATCACTGGAGGTTTAAAAAAAAATAGACAATCATTTGACCAGGATGATATAAGGTCTCCTTCCTTGAGCAGTGGGTTGGACTAGAACAGTGATGGCTAACCTTTTTGTCATTGTGTGCCGAAAGTGCACGCATGCTGGCACCCATAATGCAATGCGCGCACGACACCCCCGGCACATGCGCGTGTGACCCCCACATGACCCCCACACACCCCACGCATGCGGGCGTGACCCCTCCCGTGCCCTGTTTTCGGCCTAGCAGGTCTCCCTGCAGCCTTCTGGAACCAAAAATGGGCCGCCGGGGGGTGCAGCACACTCTCCAGCTTCCCCATGCCCCCACGCATGCATGTGCGACCCCCCAGTCCCCCGTGCATGCACGCACATCTCCCACATGCGCCCCGCCCCCATGCATGCATGGCAGAGACGCGAAAAGGTGTGCACGCATGCACAGTGGAGCTGAGCTGGGGCAACAGCTTGCATGCCCATAGAGATGGTTCTGCGTGCCATAGGCTCGCCATCACAGGACTAGAAGATCTCCAAGGCCCTTCCAGCCCTAGGATTCCATGTTCTATGACCTGCCCATCCTTACCTACTGAGTAGATAGGACCAGCATTGGAAAGAGGGTTCTATCTGTGAGCTTCCTAGATAGATGTAGAGACTATCATGTCAGTTAGAATGCCGGTTAGATGGGCGTAGTCCTGCTCCAGCAGACTGATTTTCATGTTTCAACATTCCCCCGGTCCTACCGTCAAGAGTTTTAAAATGATAAAACAAACAATAGCAAGCAATACAACGAGGCTTTGTTTAGTTTTGGAATATACCAGAGGTCTGCAACCTTAAACACTCAAAGAGCCATTTGGACCCATTTCCCACAGAAAAGAAAACACCGGGAGCCACAAAACCCTTCCCGTACCTGGCTTATTTCTTGAGCGGCCACAAAACTAGCATATGTAGTTGAATTAAACATTCTGTTTTCTTCTGAGACTTTTCTTTTCTTGGATTTATCCATTTATTGAAAAGCTCAATAAATCGTTGGCAGTTGTGATGCATATTTTGAGTGACAGGGAGCCGCAGCAGAGGGGTGAAACAGCCACATGCAGCTCGAGAGCCGCAGGTTGCTGACCCCTGGAATATACAAAGGTGGTTTGGTTTCATTGACACCGATACTGCCGATATTTGGTGTGGATTTCACCTTCCGTTGAGGAGAGCATGTTCCTTTGCTCAGGAATTATGCTTTGTTGCTTGACCGCTGAAGCAAGATAACAGCTTTTTATTCCTTCTTTCTAGTACCCAGCGATTGTGGAGTTGTTCCATGATGAAAAAGACCCTGCTCCAGCTGCTCCTTCTGGAAAGAAAACTTCTTCCAAAATCAATATCCGCGCTGCCCGTCCAACTGTAAAAGCAGCCAATAAAGAACACAAGAAAACAGTGGGGCACCAGGTACAAAACAGTTTTTTTTTCAAAGTCAGCTTCTGTGTTTTTCTTATAAGGTGCTTTACTTCTGCCCCATCCAAGTTATAATGTTATCAGCAGTGGTGAAATCTAAAATTTGTTACTACCGGTTCTCTGGGTGTGGCTTGGTGGGGGGAGATAATGTGACTGGGTGGGCGTGGCCATTTTTTTTTTTTTTACTTTTAAAACCATTTTTTCTACAACATCTTTGGCAAAGAGGTTGTAAAAAAATGCTTTCAAAAGGCTCTGACGATCCAAGCTGAGTTGCTGATCAGGCAACTCAGTTTGGATCGTCAGAGACATTTAAAAAAAAAAGGGGGGGGTTTTCTCTTAAAAGCCTTTGATGATCCCAGCTGAGCCACGCGATCATCAGAGGCTTTTTTTTTACTTTTAAAAGCATTTTTTGGCTGAAGAGGTTGTAGAAAAAATGCTTTTAAAAGTAAAAAAAAAAGCATCTGATGATTGTGCGGCTTAGCTGGGGAAGGGGGGGGGGCAGGGATTTTTGCTACCGGTTCTCCGAACCATCCGCCTCCATCACTACCAGATCAGGTGATCCAGTCTGAACCGGGAGCATTTCACCCCTGGTTATCAGTGAATAATTGCCAGGGCTATAGAGGGAGTGAATTCAAGATTGCTCCATATGAAAAAAAAAATCCCTGTTAATATCAATATATTACCTGTATATCTTTCTCCTAATTACCTCTTTGGGGAGAGGGTCAAAGGACACAAATGCCATTAGCATGCAAAACATTGCTTCTTCCCTGAAATCAATCAGAATAGACCTGGAAGGGACCTTGGAGGTCTTCTAGTCCAACCCCGTGCTCAAGCAGGGAACCATATATCATTTCAGATAGGTGGCTGTCCGGTCTTTTTTTAAAAGCCTCTAGTGTTGAAGCCCCTACAACTTCTGGTGGCAAGCTGTTCCACTGGTTGATTGTCCTCGTATTAGGAAGTTTCTCCTCAATTCCAGGTTGCTTCTCTCCTTGAATAATTTCCATCTATTGCTCCTTGTTCTGCCTTCTGGTCCTTTGGAAAATAATTTGACACACACACCCCTCTTCTTTGTGGCAGCCCCTCAAATACTGGAATTTTTTTTTTTATTGAAAAGTTTTATAAGAAATACAAACATTTTCTCCCCCCCTCCCCCCCCCCTCACTAGACTTCCCAGAACAAGCACAGGGTATAGACATTCACAAACGTAAAACTAAAATATGCTAACAAATTATTGCATTCATATTTTCCCTAGATCTTTAACTCCTTATAACTCAAAAAACTATAAGGAATATTCCTCAAATACTGGAATATTGCTATCATGTCACCCCTAGTTCTTCTTTTGTCTAGACTGGTCATACCCAATTCCTGCAACCGTTCTTCATGTGTTTTTGTCTGTATTGCAATTCTTCCCTCGCTTCCCAGCCTCAAAATCAGAATGAGAAAAATTGTTTATATTGAATGTTGAGTTTGCGACTTTAGTAAGAGTTTAGGAAGTAAAGATCTTTAGCAGGACCTGGGTACTTGCGGGACCGCCTACTACCACCAATAGCCTCCCACCGGCCGGTACGCTCTCATAGAGAGGGGTTCCTCCGGATGCCGTCGGCCAAACAGTGTCGACTGGCGGCCCCCAGGGGGAGAGCCTTCTCTGTGGGGGCACCTAATATCTGGAACGAGCTCCCCCTGGAGATACGGAGGATCCCGGATCTGCGCACCTTCCGCCACGCTCTAAAGACCTTTTTATTTCATCAGGTGGGCCTGGCCTAATTTTCTCCCTCTTTTAAACAATTTTAATATTTTAACATTTTTAATATCTTTAATACTTAAAGTCTAAATTGGTTTTAAATTGATTGGGGTTTTAATCTGTCTGGGCCAAACTATTTAATTTGATTTTATTTCTGCTTTTTAAATTTTGTATGTATGTATTTTATTGTTGGCTGTTCACTGCCCTGAGTCCTTCGGGAGTAGGGCGGTATACAAATCAAATAAAAGTAAAGTAAAGTAAAAGCAGGAGCCAATAAGTAGTCATGGTACCTTCCAAACATAGCCTGGTTCCTAACTAGAATCAGGAGATTAATAGGAAGAGAAGAGACAGGTATGATGAAGAGCAGAAAGTCTCACTAACTGGTTCATTCATTGGTTTGATGGTAGTCTCTGTCTAACTCAGTGTTTCTCAACCTTAGCAAATGTGTGATGTGTGGACTCTAACTCCCAGAATTCCCCAGCCTGCTCCAATCATTGGAGATTTTTAAGAAGAGACTGGACAACCATTTGTCTGGAATGGTATAGGCCTGTGATGGCGAACCTATGGCATGCGTGCCACAGGTGGCATGTGTAGCCATATTGGTGGGCATGCAAGCTGAACTCTGGCGTGCATGAGCATGCCGGTCAGCTGATTTTCAGGCCTTCTGGGCCCACCAGAAGTAGGGAAACAGGCTGTTTCCTGCCTCCAGAGGACCTCGGTGCGGTGGTGGGAAGGCCCGTTTTTCTCTCTTCCTAGCCTCCAGAGCCTTTCTAGGAGTCTGGGGAGAGCCCGGAGGCCCTCTGGAGGCCAGAACCAGTCTGTTTGCCAACTTCTGGTGGGACCGGAAGTTAGCAAATGGGCCATTTTCGGCCTCCAGAGCGGTGGGGAAGGCCGTTTTTGCCCTCCCCAGACTCCTAGAAAGGCTCTGGAGGCTGGGGAGAGCAAAGAACGGGCCTACTGTGCCATCACGTGCCAGGAGCGTGGGGGGGGGTCGCGCGCATGCGCGGGGGCAGGGCGCATGGAATTATGGGTATGGGCATGCGCACACGCGCACCCCCCCCCCGCTGCTGGCACACGATGGCAAAAAGGTTAGCCATCACTAGTATAGGCTCTTCTGCTTGAGCAGGGATTGGATTAGAAGATCTCGCAAACCCCTTCCAACTCTGTTATTCTGTCATTCTGCATTTGTGCTTGAAATTCTTAATTTCCCCTTTGTTAAATGTATTTCCGTATTATTAAATTTATATGCTGCCCGTCTCACTATACAGAGTTGCTTGGCTAGTTCATCCATGTTTACCTGTAAAACAAGCCGTGTCACATTCCTCCGCTTCCTGCAGTTACTGTTTTTTTTTCCTCTTTCAGTTTCGCAATTCATTGCACCTATTAATGGAGACCCTGAATGCTACCACTCCCCATTATGTTCGGTGTATCAAGCCCAATGATGAGAAGCTGCCTTTCACGTAAGCATTGCTTCCTGATGAGACCGGAGATTCTGTAACTTGATGAATGACAAGGGGCAAAGAGATTGTGAAACATTTGTCACAAGTACAGGTAGTCCTTAACAGTTCGTTCAGTGACCGTTCGTTTAATGACAATTCAAAGTTACAGCAGCACTGCAAAAACTGACTTATGACATCCCCATGGTCAAAATTCAGATGCTTGGTGACTGACTCATATTTATGACGGTTGCAGTATTCCGGGGTCATGTGATCCTCTTTTGCAACCTTCTGACAAACAAAGTCAATGAGGAAGCCAGATTCACTTAACAACCATGTTCCTAAACAACTGCAGCGATTCACTTAACGACTGTGACAAGAAAGATCCAAGAATGGTCATAAAATTGGACAAAACTCACTTAACAACTGTATCACAGAAATTTTGGGCTCGACTGTGGTCGTAAGTCGTGGACTACCTGTTCTGATTGGGTACCTTATGAATCCTTAGCTGTCTGTACACAACACCCTTAACTGGGGTGGTCATGAACCTTGTGACTTTATGCAAGATGCCAAAATTAGCCAGCATTAACTTTAGTGTACTTATTTATATCAGTGATGGCTAACCTTTTTGCCGTCATGTGCCAAAAGTGGGGGGAGCGGGGGGCGGTCATGCACCCGTGTGCCCACACCATTTAATGTCTCCCCACCTCTGCGCATGCACGCTCCCCCTGCTTTTGGCATGCAATGACAAAAAGGTTACCAATGGGCCCGGTAGGCCTGTTTTTCACCCCCCTCAGGCTCTAGAGGTTTTCTTGGAGCCTGGGGAGGGCAAAAACGGCCTCTCCCCCCCCCCCCCAGAGGCCCTCTGGAGGCCAGAAACAGTCTGTTTCCTGACTTCCGGTGGGCCCGGAAGACCTGAAAATCAACTGGGCAGTACATCCATGCGTGCTGGAGCTGAGCTAGGGCAACGCTTGCGTGCCCACAGATATGGCTCCATGTGCCACCTGTGGCACGTGTGCCATAGGTTCGCCATCACGGATCTATACGATTAATACAGCTGCTTATCTCACAGCGGTGATTCTGTGAAATATTTGCTGCTTAGTATGTTATGTCAACCATGTTATAATTATAAGCCCCAAAAAAGTGCTTTAGAGCACTTTTTGTCAACCTTAGCAAACCTTAGCAAGTTTAAGATGTGTGGATGTCGACTCCCAGAATTCCCTAGGCGGCTGTTGTGTTTGGTTTCTCCTTAGTTGCATAATGACTCAGTTTGTTGTGCTGACACACATAGGTTGTAGTTTATTCTGCAGATCGCAGTACCCAACCAACCTTGGGTGAATTTGATAGCTAGCCACATTCAGTTCTTGCTAAATTTAGATCTGAGACCACCCGAGCTGTAGGTTCAACTTGAAAATTGAAAAAATTCCCTGGAAAATGCAGTGGCAAACCATACTTTAATTCCAACAATGGATGAATGGCTGGAAAAACTGATGGAACAACAGAGATGGCTAAATTGTCTGCTTTAATCAAAGAAAAGAACACATCCAATTTTGCTTCTGCTTGGAAATCGCTTCTGGATTTTGTGCTTGAGATGGGAAAAAATGAACTTTTTTTGCCGATTAGATAATAGATAGATGTTACTATCTTAGTCTATTGTTCTAAAAAAACTTGTCAGAAGCCAGTGTTTTTCTTCCTTTCTTCTCCTTTACCCTACACTCCTTTTCCCTTTTTCCTCCCTCATTTTCCCACTATTTTCATCGTCTTTTGTCTTTTGTATCTTGGTAAACAAAATTATTGATAAATAAAGGCATGTTGAGAGTCTTTAAAGTTTAGGAAGGTTATTCTTAAAATTAGCATTGAGTTCATAGACCATATAAATGAATAGGGATCAGAATGTGTTGTACAGCCATGTTCATGAGTGTCTCAATTATGTCTTGACAGCTTCGACCCAAAGAGAGCAGTACAACAACTAAGAGCTTGCGGAGTGTTGGAGACCATCCGTATCAGTGCAGCGGGCTACCCATCCAGGTGACTTTCACTTCAAAACAATTCTATATTTCTGTTTTTTTTCCAGTAACAATTGTGCTTTAAAACAATGTAGAAGACAAAGACTGAGAAAGTCAACTCTAGGGCAGGGGGCTCCAACTTTGGCAACTTTACAATTTGTGGACTTCAACTCCCAGAATTCCTCAGCCAGCATGGCTGCCTGAGGAATTCTGGGAGTTGAAGTCCATAAGTCATAAAGTCCCCAACATTAGATACAGTACTCTAAGGCCTAACAGGGAAATATTTCAGAGTGCATTAAAGAAAAAAAATCAGAACTTTTCTCTGTGAAATCTGAACTTTTTGGTAGAACCTTAGAACTCCTTAACTACCGGTAGTTGCTTTTCCATGTAAAGCTCAATCCTGGACAATTCCACCCCCCTCACCCCCCCACCCCCAAATCTTGCTTTCTCCTGCATGAAAAGCTACAGGGTTTAAGTATGCATTGAGAAACATTCAAAATGGTTTGTATGCAACCCTAAACAATTTTGTAGCAGTGTAGGGTTTCCTGCCTAAGCAAGGGGTTGGACTAGAAGACCTCCAAGGTCCCTTCCAACTCTTTTATTCTATTCTATTCTATTCTATTCTATTCTATTCTATTCTATTCTATTCTATCTATTCTATTCTATTCTATTCTATTCTATTCTATTCTATTCTATTCTGTGCTTAGTTTACTTTTTGGAGTTTAGTAGGATGTCCTCAGTTTGTAGGCCATTTTTCTCCCTTTAAATGGGGTTGCCTGTTGAACTGAGAACACAACACACAATATTATGGTGAACTTGGCTGAATTTTCTGCAATATGACACAATTCCTTTGCAACCGTTAAGTAGTGTTTCGGTGTGCCAGTCAGTGTAATTTTTAAAATATCATTTTTCATAGCATTGATTCTTTCCAAAAATAAATATCATCTTTCTTCGCTGGCATAAAAAAATCACATTTGGAGCAGAGGAGGCTATTTCAGAGATAAATTTTGACCTCTGTATTGTGATATAGATATAATATCCTGACCATAGGTCAAACACCAGAGAGAATCTGAAGCATAAATTGACCAGTCAGCAAATTTAGCTTCCTCTATATAACACGTTCTACATCAATGTTACTATTTTAAATTATCTGAATATTTTGCTGTGCTTCCTTTGGAAAAAGCAATGATGGAGAGATGGTGTGTTTGTATCTCATTGTTTTCATCTCCAATGGACAAAAAATAAATTTGAGGGCTTGTCCAATTTTACACATTCCAAGAGTATATCTGAGATGAAGATATTCCTCAACTTAAAACCTTAACTGAGACCAGAATTTCTGTCGTAATTTGAGGCGTCATGTAGCCATACCTAATGGTTCAATTATTTTTAAAATGGCAGCTGTCAAGGGAAACACACGGTCATAAGTCTGAATCCACTCTCCCAGATAGATTTTTTTTTTTTTTGCTAGAAACAAGCAGAAAATGTCACAAATTTCAGTCATGTGACCATGGGACATGGCACCTGGTCATAATGCAAAGTGTTTTGGCAAGGGCCTGAAATGTGGTCGCATTGATTGCTGTTCAGTGCAAGCTAGGATCTCTAAAGCAAGCTACATATCAAAATAATATTCAAATCTTTTTGTGCCTATACTTTGCTCATGCCTTATATCCGGGGTGGGCAACTATGGCCCCTGTCTGACCTGTGGACTTCAACTCCCAGAATTCCTGAGCCAGCCATGGCTCAGGAATTCTGGGAATTGAAGTCCACTGGTCGTAAAAGGGCCCTAGTTGCCCACCCTGCCTTATGTAACAGCTGTTGGTCTCTCTCCTTTTCAAAGGAGGCTGGTTTCCATCTGTCCCTAGATTTTACAAACTCGTCTGATTTGCTAATATGTCACCAACCCGGAGGCACGCACCATATATTGATGTACCCTCAGAATACGTGAATTAATTGCAATTTACAATTTGTTCTTGTTGCTCGTTTTTGGAATGTAGCCTTCAGCAAACCCCTCAGTTAAAATACGGCTCTTGGCTGAGGAATTGTAAAAACTAAAAGGCCGATTCATATGAGTTGAAAGTCCTCCAGGCATGGTCCACCAGACATCTCCAGACAGACTAGAGAAGGGTTTTTTTCTTTGATACCTGCAATAGGGAATTCTAGATAGCATTGTACTGTCGGAAGAAATATCCTTCTGGGTTCAGTTCCAAGTGACGGGAAAAGACACTGGATTCATGGAAGTTGCTTGGAAAGAAGGTTTATTGATGAACAGGATCACATGCCTTGGAGATCTTGGGTGAAAAAAGGGAAGAGATGCTGAGAGTCCCTGGGTTTTATACCCTCTCTGGCTTTGAACTTCCTGGGGTACAGGAAGAGTATCCTGATTGGTTGCTGTCAGGAGTCATGGTTAGCTTTTTAGGTTGTCTGTGTGCTAAGTTTGGTTGAATCTTGCTGGGTGATGCAATGAAGGGCAATTAAATGGCTCGGCCTGAAGGAGGTAGATCTTCGTTATCTAGAATGGACTGGCCCAGGCCTTAATGGCCCATTGACAAAGGGGTGCATGTGTGAAAAAGGGAGGTTTCTGCCTCCCTTTTAGGAGAAATATTCTGCCCTTTTAATATTTCCTAAAATATTTCATTTTCTAACAGAGTACCAAGCAGTATATAGACAATTCAGGTTAGCTTATTACAGGTAGGCCTTGACTCACAACAGTAGTGACTGTTCAAAGTTACAAAGGCACTGAAAAAAAGTGACTTTTGACCGTTTTTCACACTTACAACTGTTGGAGCATCCCCATGGTCATGTGATCAAAATTCTGACACTTGGCCACTGACATGTACTTATGCCAGTTGCAGTGTCCCAGTGTTGTGTGATCAGCTTTTGCGACCTTCTGACGAGCAAAGTCAATGAGGCAGCCCAATTCACTTAACAGCCATGTCCCTAACTTAACAAGTTCAGATTCAATTGCAGGATTCCCTTAACAACTGTGGCAAGAAAGATCATAAAACGGGGCAAAAAACTCACTTATCCGTCTCTCTTAGCAACAGAAATTTGGGGCTCCATCGTGGTTTGTAACTCAAGGACTACCTGTAGGCATTTCGTGAGGGAATTCCTCCTGCGCCACTGGACTAGCAGAATAGAAAGTTATTAATCATCTTTCTCCCACAGTAAACTTCTTCCGGTAAAGTTCAGCAGATCTTCCTCGGAAATTCCCTCCTTCCTCTGTTAATTTGGGGAGTTGTTTAACAGATTTCACCGTCCATTCTCAAAGTAATGGAAGACCTTTATATAATATTTATGGTAGCCTGTCAAAATAATAGAGAGAATTTACTAGTTTAAACTTGACAGCTTGTAAGAATGATACCTTCAGTGTAATCATCAGGGCAGTCGTTTCAGTCGTCAAGATCTGAGCCAATTTGCTTCAGAGGGAAGCTGCCCCGTGGCCTTCCATCACTTCTGACTGTCAGCAGAATTCCTTAATGAAGCACTACCTACAGTGTGCCATTTTTTGTCGGCAGAGATTGACGGCTTGTGCGCTCGGGCATGAAAAGATGCTCTTGGTGTTTCAGGGTCCTTGTGATTTGGCGTGGCTGCCAGTGCGCTATCCGAGTCATAAATGGAATTTGTCCTGTCTTGTCCTGTCTCCTTTTTCTTCCAATATTTTTTTTTTTTTTAATTGGACAGCTGGTTTGTTCTTCCATACCTGAAATTTATTTATTTATTATTTTTTAGTTATTTATTTTTCAAGCATATATAAGATAACAGGTAAAAGTATAAACATAATTTGAATACATGAAAAGAGTAAGTAAAAAGGAATATTAGGACAGGGACGGTAGGCACGCTGGTGCACTTATGCACGCCCCTTACAGACCTCTTAGGAATGGGGTGAGGTCAACAATAGACAGTTTAAGGTTAAAGTTTTGGGGGTTTGGGGAAGAGACCACAGAGTCAGGTAATGCATTCCAGGCATTGACCACTCTGTTGCTGAAGTCGTATTTTCTGCAATCGAGTTTGGAGTGGTTTAAATAAGTTCTTATTTAATCCCCGAAAAAATACCATTGAATGGATTCATCCACATTGTCCATTCACCTTTAATTTGAATCTACACCCAGCAAATATTTTGGCTACCAGGAGGCGGTACAGGTAGTCCTCGACTTACAACAGTTTGCTTAGTGATCATTTGAAGTTAGAATGGCACTGAAAAAAGTGACTTATGACCATTTTTCACACTTATGACCGTTGCAGCGTCCCCATGGTCATGTGATTTACATTCAAATGCTGACAACTGACTCACATTTATGATGATTGCAGTGTCCTGGGGTCATATGATCCCCTTGTGCAACCTCCTGACAAGCAAAGTCAATGGGGAAATCAGATTCACTTAACAACTGTATTACTAATTTAACAACTGCAGTGATTCATTTAACAAATGTGGCAAGAAAAGTCGTAAAATGGGGCAAAATTCACTTAACAAATTTTGCAACATAAATTTTGCAATTGCGACCACCAATTGTGGTCGTACGTTGAGGACTACCTGTACGTGACCAGTTCCATTTTTATTGTGATTCATGAGATATACATAGCCATTTTTTTCCTATAGCGTTCAAACTCTCTGCCAAGAATTGAACTCATAGATCCTTGCACTTTAGATAATTATATACAGGGCATTATTTTTAGGAGCGATCAAGCTCTGATCTCAACGGTGTTGCAGGAAGTCCTTGAGTTACAGCCACTTGTTCTGTGACTGCTCAAAGTTACAACGGTGCTGAATGAAGCGGACTTATAACTGGCCCTCAAAGTTGTAGCCATCCCAGTGTGCCTGTGGTCATGTGCTCATGATTTAGGTGTTTGGCAAATGACTCGCAATTACAACGGTTGAAGCATCCATTGGTCATGTGATTTCCATGCTGACTTCTCACAAGCAAAGTCAATAGGAAAACTGGCGGGAGACCTCAGGTTGTTCCCAGCTCTGTTGCTTTTTTGAACATTGATTTACCAGTTCTCCATAGCATCTACTCTGCTTCT